TGGGATCAGAAAGCGCAGTGCGGACCCCGGCCCCGCCACGAGCAGCGGCACCTGGGACCGCAAGGCTTGGGTAACGGGCCCCACGCAAAAGCAGGGCAGTCTATACCTCGGCAGAAAAATACTGAGGCCAACAACGTCCACCGAGGCACCGGCGGGCAATCGCAAGGAAAGACCAGCAGCGCGCCGCAGGCCCTCGAGGAGGGCAGCGGCCAAGCGCAAAGGGGGCCGGGGCCTGGCCGGACGGCTCTGGCTCCGGGGAGGAGGTCGCTCGGGAGCGATGCTTCCGCTTGCAGCAAATAGGCCGACGACCCGGAGCAACAAAAGTTCACGGTCAAGCACTGCCGAGAAAGTCACTTGTCCAATCTTGATATCCACTCTCGGCATGTGACGAAGCTACCCTACCCTTTCCCGCTCAAGCCGAGGCTTCAGCCATTTAAATGGCTTGAGCTAAAATTTGTTGCCGTCAGTTAGGGTCTTGGGGCTTGGGGAGTTTAGGGTCAAGGGTGTTTGGGGTCTAGGGTTCATGGGCTCGGGGTTCGAGCTTGGGGCTACGAGCTTTCAGGTTTCGAGGAGACTTCTGAAATTCTTTCCACTGCATGCACTGAGAGGTGCCTTGCTCGGAACAGGATGGCAATGACCCGGCCTCGACACATTTTTTTTTCCAACGGACTTTTCGGGCGATCCGCGCGCGGTCTCAGTGCACCTGCCAACTACGGCATAGCAGAAGGGCTACGACGGCTCAGTGTCGCGAAAACGGGTTGAACAAGCGCGAGAACCGTGATGCTGCCAGCCCTGGCACCGCTCGCCAGGCTCGGGCAAAACGCATTGGGCTGGCCGCAGGCCGTCATGGATAGCGCTCCACTCGGGCCGACCCTCCCATCCTGCGTGGGTGAGGTGGGCGCCAGCGGCAGCGGCGACGCGCTGGCAAAGCGCGAAGGCGGGCTGGTCCGGCTTCGAGTTCGGCCAGACAACGCGCAGCAGCCTCGAGGCGACGCAGCCGCAAAACAGGCAAAGCGTCGGCCCACGCGGCCCAGTACGCGGCAGGAGCGACGCACTCCCCGCGTCGGAGTCCGAGTGCGCCGAGGCGTGCCGGCAAGAGCGCCAAGTGTCGCGCGGCAGCGACTTCAGGATCTTGGTCGTCCAGCTCACCAAAAATCTCGCGCAAACACTGCCAAACTGCGTCGTCGTGGCCGCGTGCGTACGATGCCGAGAGGTCGGGAGGCAGGGTGCGCAGCAAGTGATCTGCACGCGGGGCGGCACACATGGCAAGGATGAGCTACGCGCATTGCAAGTCCGGCAGCAGGTGGCAGGGGGAGCTCCTGCAGCAGCCGGGCCTCCTCCCTGAGGCGAGCGTCTGTGTTCGAATTACAGACGGAACCAGTGCCAAAGGAACCAGCAAAATTTATGTTTTGCTTTCTGTTCTGTTATAGCAGCGAGCAAGGACATCCAGACTAAGCAGTGAGCATTCCTGCCTTGCATGAACGATCCTCGACTCTGAACCACTCGTGACTGAGCAAGCTCCTGCTGCTGGATGCAAGCGATCGATGAGCAACGACGAGGCCACTCCACCAACCTGAATTCCAAGTATAAGCTCGAGATAAGTATGCCTCCACTCGCGGCTGGCTGCGTCAAGTGCCGCAGCAGCAGCAGCAGCGGCGGCGGCGGCGGCGGCGGCAGCGGCGGCAGCACCGGCAGCAGCGGCAGCGGCAGCGATGTTTGGCTGGGCTATGCTGGGCTGCATGCATGCGGGCCCATCACGATGGGCCGCACGTTGCACCACTCGTGTGGGGTCAGCAGATACCCCTCTATTTTTCTTTCCGCTTGGTCGTTTTGTGGTAAGCTCTGGCAGGGAACCTTAGACTGACGGAGCAGGCTGGTGTGACACGCCCTGTCATCGGCGAGCGGTGGTTCAGCGGCGCCTGGACGAACTGATGCGTGCCGTGCTGAGTCGGCCATCCCAGCAAGGTGGCAACGACGGTATTTGCAAAGCCACACTGATGAACTCCTGCGTCTGCGTCTGCGGCTCCGGCCCTCTGCGGCCGCTCGCAGCAGGGTCGGGGCGTGCACGGCTCTCAACCGCGGCACCCGGCGGAGGAGGCTGAGCGTGCCATGCATCTGCGGTCCGTTCCTCAATGCGAAGGAGACGGGTGGCATTCCTGAAGGTACGGGGCCGCGCTGATAGAAGTTAGGATAGGTGGCAGTGTATCACGATATAACAAGATATAACTTTCGCGAAATCAACCACAACCCTACCGCCCCCGCCCTGGCCGAAACGCGAATACAGTATCTTGAAATACCCAATCCTGCACAAGGAGCATGAAACACAGCAGCAAGAGTGTTTGCAACAACCGTCGTGCGGTCAGCAACTAAACGACTCAACATTGACAGACGAAGACTAAGTGAAACATCATGCTGCAAGAAAGCAGCGGAAGCACACATATGCTACCAAGCATGTACAAACGACGACTACGTCGGAACCCAAGCCCTCAAGCAGAGATCGTTGCGCTTGGCAAATGCCAGCAACGAAGAGCAGCACATGGGCATGCGTGGACGAACGGGTGTTGCCCATCCCATGCGGTGAAAAAATGAACCGCAGGAGACTGTCATCGTACAGGTGGTTCGGCTGGATGGCAACGTCTCAATTTGCGTATTTGTTGTCAGGAGTCCTGTTGGTTAACGGGGCCAGCAGCACACTGATGCCTCCCTGGATGAAGGAAAGCATTCACTTTGCGCACCAAATCGTATAGTGCAAGTTGATGAACATAATACGTAGCTTACAAGTGCCCGAACTAACCATTTGTCGGCAGTTTCACATTGTGCAGGACCAGAATCCTCAGTCGTAGCAAGCCTGAGCTTGGGCACCATATTTCGAAGTCTTCAAACCTGTGCAACTCCATAGCATGCTAACCTAAAATCCGAACACCTTCTAGCCTGAACGACTCCAATCTTGCGACCACTGCGGGCTTCAACCCTCGATAACAACTCTCACTGTACCACGCCGAGAGCTCCAAACTTGCCGAAGTGTGAACTATGTCCTGGGTTATATGCAGTGATCCAAGCCTGGGGAACATATATAGTCTAGCGATTCTTGTGATACCCGGCTCGCCGAATCTGGCCCAGCTGTGACAGCAGCGGTGCTTGAGATTCCGGTGTCGTGTTTCGAGCGGCTGTTTGTGGACAGGCTCATCCCTCCAAGGCGGCAAATCAAATCCCCGTTCGTCCCGAGAAGCCGCTACGTCCTGGCACCGTAGATTGTGCCGATGTACCCAACCCAAATCACGGCATCCGAATCGTCGAGGCAAGCGAGGATCGCTTCTGAGTGCTGCCGTTGTGAACATGGTCGGGCTGCATGATTAGCTCCGGGTCTCGTGTGCCAAAGGTGCGACGACTGCTTGCATCAGCTGCCAACTCCCCCCACATTGCAGTTGTGCGGTTCTCACCCGATGGCTGCGAAAGACTTGAGCATCCTTCATTCTTGCGAGAACAACGCAACTCTGTGGGTGGCCCACGTTTTTTGATTAAATATACATACTTCAACTTTCGACGGCCATGGGCATGACACGACAAGCGACCGGGCCACTTGCCAAGGCGGGGAACCCACCTCGCTAGCCACCGCGCGCGGCGCTATGGGCACCCAGCACGGTCGCTCCTGATCCTCGCGAGTGCGTCAACAAGATGTAAGGGAACAATTTTGGGCCTTCCTGTGGTCTGTGCAGTGTCTGTGCCAAGCTTGCGGAGACGTAGCCGGTGTCGTATGAGATTCTGTGGAATTCAGGGCGATCCTGGGAATGGGGTCGTCCAGAACACCACCCCATCATTGAACACCTAGACGCCTAGAGAACCGTCAAGCACCTGCTCCGGAGATGTCCCACCCACGACCCAGCTGGCCAACGATTGCGCCGTTTGTCGTGGACCTGTCTTTGGTCGCAACAGCCTCTTGGTTTCGCGGCATTGGTTTATTTCTTGGTAACTTCTTGGCTTGCGAAAGTCAGCGATGTTGAGCTCAAGCACTTGTACTGATTGTACTGGAAGGAATCCGAATCGCAGTTTTGCGGCGCAGGGTCCACTGCCTCGGTACGTTCAAGGTTTCGAACCCCTGCCTGCAACCCGACAGTACAATGATTGCACGGCCCAAGTGCAGATGAAGGCGGCGATGCTGGTGCTGGCGCCAGGCCCAAATCGGCAGTTCCTATAAGATGACGACCAGGGTAATTCTCCGGCATCATCCAGCCGTCTGTAAGCAGCATTTTGAAGCGCGCAATCGAGGATCCAAACGCGACACGTTGTGGCAAAGCCGGTGGTGAGTTTTTCAGAGAAACCCACAGTAGGTGCAGTGCCGCTGCCCTCGTCCCTAAAGTGTCGCTCAGCATGGTGAAGCCCCCTGAAACTGTTTTGGACCCCTGGGAGACATGCCCAACACACTCCTGCAGCTGGCACTTTCGGCCTGCTCTGCGTGTCCTGATGGGCACCTTTTTAGTGCCAATCTGGTCATGCAGGTGCCTAGCAGCCGCGTTTAAGCTGCCAAGCTCTGCAACATCGGGAGCTGCGGGTTCAGGCATTGTCTTCGGGTGCAGAAGGAGTTCTCACACTCAAAAGATTTCTTACTTAGCTGACCAATCACGAAACCGCAATAAACCGCATCACGGTCAGAAGTCGCCCTGGTCTTTCTCTGGGATCAGGCGTGTGAGGAAAGCAAACCTCAAAGGCGAGCAGCGAGTCGTGGAACGGCGGTTAGCTTTGTCAGCATTCCTTTGCTGGGCCCTCTGCTCCTCCCTCCGCCTCGCCTGGCGAAAGCGCTCCCTCACACGGCGGCTGCCTGGCGCTGTTCCGAGGCCAGTTGTAGATGCTGATGCTGCAAGAGTTGGGTTGCAGGTCGTGTCTCTCGCTGACATTCCAAAGCTGATGTGCGCAGGAATGTTGAGCTATCTTGGCACCAAGGAACCACGGTCGAGTTCGAGCCCGAGTACCCCAAACATCGAGATCGCTCTCATGATCTCAGTTCATAGATTTGTCAGGCTCGCCAGGGCCTGCGGCATCATCCTGGCAGGGGAGCTCTTTCCAACAAAACACGCAACCACACGGAACAAAGCCAAAAACTGCTCGCGCTTCGTGAACCCAACTTCCGTGCACCCTGGGCCATGCTGGGACCCTGGGTCCTCGTCGCCTTCCGAAGAATCGCTCCGCAGGGCTTCGAAACCGGAGAGCAGTCGGGAGTTGCCTCGGATGAACCGTTCCCAGATGACTCCCAGGCCACATGCCCTATGCGAGAGATTCACACGGCCATGTCACGGCAGAGCTCAGCCGCATCAGCTGCACCAAGGTTGAGCAACCGCCGGGCAAGGCTAAACTCCTCGAAAGGGCAAGCGCCGACGATTAATAGCTTCTTAGAGTCTCAAGGCCCCTCCTGACCCAAAGGATCGTCGCCCTGGTGTGAGACCGTGGGATCCTGAGAGTCGCGAGCGGCATGCAGAAGCGCACTGCTACTTCTCTCAACTGTTATCTTGAGATTGTCCGTTCCTTCGGCTATTCCAGAAGAAAAATTTTGCACTGCATCCCGTGCCCAGCATGGCGTGGCAGACAGGCATCCCCTCCTCGCTGCACAGTGCCACGCGGACGCCGCTTCGAAAGAGGGCGTCCAGCGCAGCAGGCCCCGCCTGAACGCTGCATGGGCACCCAACTGCGCAAGGGAAAACGGCTGGTTCCTCACAGCGCAACCCTTGCGGGAAGCATGCCTCGCCGGCCCCACCCAAGGACCGCTGCGAGCAAAGCGACACCTAGGCTGAGACGTCGGCATCTTTGCAGCGCTGTACTGACAGGTAGCTTCAAAACGCACATCCGGGCTTCTCGGAAAGAAGTTCTACTACGGGGAAGACTTTCATCCGGCTCTTTGCACGAGCTGGCCTGAGCACCAATGCGATCGAGCATGAAGAGATACCTGTGCAGGCACGCACGATCATGGCACATCACAGTCCCCGAAAACATCCCCCCCAAAACGGCGGAGAAAGCGCTGAATCTGCCGAGTGACTGCAGTGGAGCATGCGAGGCGAGGGATGCGCACCTCGACTTCAGCCAAGAACCCCTGCTGGATGGATGTCCGGGCAAGGACGGTCTCATCTCGACGGCACCGCGTCCCCGACCCGGAGACGGAGTTCGCTCCAAGCATGTACGCACAGGCCTTGCAGAGCGGTTCCGTGAGGCTAACGAGTTCCACTTGCACGAAGCCCTGAGATGCCCTGAGTCACTGAGCCCACCACGAGACCCTCGGCACCAGAGGCCTGTGCCGAGCACGAAGCCACGGTACTTCCGTGTCAATGCATTGCTGCCATGTTGAAAAAGTGCACGGCGTGTCGGAATGAGCGCTTGCACATTGCTATGCATTGGAATACCCTCTCTTGAAACCCACAGATGTGGTGACACTCTCAGCACTAGCACTGCAGCTGGCTGTTCTCAGGCTGGCGCTGAGGCTCTCAGCTCGAACTCCTGCAGGATTTTGCAGACACTAACTTGCTTCAAGTCGTCAGCACTCAGGACAGCCGCAGGACTATCATCTTGTGAATTGGTTAAGCTCCTTCCGCTTGGCCTGCGCGCAGGCATGGTTAAGGCCTGCAGCTCTGTGCCGAGTCTGGCTCAACTCTAGCCTATACGTCCGCACAAATTTCATATGTTCAGGAACGTGAATGCGGACCTGCAGTGAGCTATGCAATTGTCCGACGATGAAGAGAAAAGCAATTCCAAGCCTCGTAAACGTGCCCAGACATGGTAGAGCTGATACCTGAGGCACCGTCACTTGCTCACGAATTTGAGGAACAAGATCTTGCTGCGAACGTCAGGGACGGTAGATGTGGCACGAGATCGCGCATGCAGAAGAGTTTGCAAGGAATCCTGACTGACGGATACGTTCGTTCTCGACTAAAGCATCACATGCAAGATCTCCATGCGGATACCAGGTTACCAGGAGAGCTGTAGCCGAATTGGTAGCACAACTCTCCAAAAGGGAACGTGATCAAGAATCAAGAGCACATCCGGAGCTTAAACCCGCCTCTGGGCCCCATGGTCACTCGGCGCTGCGTGGTATCAAACTTGAGCGGCGGACGCGAAAGCAGGGGAGGACCCATCACTCCAGTCGTTGGGCTCCCGCGAAACCTCATTGGCCAGTTTCCTAATCCTACTGGTACATCGAGCAAAGACTGATTGGGACTAGGACAACTTGCTGCATCTAACTCTCGGAGCATACCACACGGAACTCTGCCATTCAGGCGTGCTAACGCGGGCCTCTGTCGTCAAGGGCTCGCTGCCCCCGTCCGACCTCGGACAGCAAAAGTAACCAATCTGGCCCACACTCCATTTGGAGAACAGGCGGCAGCACATACCGATAGAAATCTTCAATGCCATCTCCCCGTCCCCTCCAGCTCTTTGCTGGGCGTACGGCGCAGAGACCTCGAAGGCCACGGCATTGCTCAGAAGGTCTCCAAGCCTTTGGAAGGCCTGTGCAACACAGCTCGTTCGCCTCCCACAGCCACAGCTACCATGGGCCGTGGCACATGCGCGCCTCCGATTGGGGCTCCTCCAAGACCTCAGTCAAACAGAAGCGGAGCTTCGGTGTAGCTGTTTGGCTTTGGCTTTGTCCCTGGGGCCTGGACCAACTTCAGCAGCGGCCCGAACGCATTGCCCAGCAGCTCCCCATAGTCCAGGATGGTGCGGCGCGCCTGCACTTGCGGCTGAGGTCAGAGACACTCAAGTAAAAGGCTCTCAGCAGTGTGAGACCAGAAATCCCTGGACCCCACGAGTGGCGTGTCGCGGCTCCCTCGCACCAAGACTTGCTCCGAACTCGCTGCAGAGGGCGGCTAGAAATCGCCGTAAGGTCTGGAAACTGAACTGAATCCGACGGCCTTGAGGCTTGCATAGCCGGCTTGGGGGAGCTGAATCACCTCCAGACAGGCTTGTTCGCGCTTCAATCTACCGATCCCTGCCGATTAGCTGGTAACGAAAACCATGTCAGGTATGGAAAGCTCAGAAAGGAGTGCCACTACTTTGAAGCCAATCTGCACGAAAAAAAACACGAAATGCTCGCAAGGAATGGCCCTGTGAGTTGGCTCATGGTGTGGCACTGAGGCCCCGGACCCAGCGCACCCGCGAGCTCAGCGGACCCAGGGACTGAGTCGCAAGCAAGGCTGTCGAAAAACCGTCAAGCTGATAGCACAGCTTTCTTCCTTCTCATGATACAGTGCATGAAACTCCATTCCATTCATTTTACCTCACACCCTTATCCAGCGAGGAACTTTCCGATAACCTTTTGCTGACGAATCGGGTCCCACACAGCACTCCATTTGGCCAGGTCAAACCAAGCGCCATCCTCCGGATAAAGCGGCAGCCTGGCGGCAAGCCGGTCTGTGCGGACGAGCTTCCATGGACCAGAACGTAGACCCTATTTCTCCTCGCTTGGACCCGTGTTTGCACAGCCTCTCCGCAAAGACCCGGGGGCATACACGTAGACTTTAGCGATTCGCTTCGGATTTGATTGCGTTACGTCCGATCTGTGAACCATCAGTTCTGCGTCGCAGAACCTGCTTTAGGCCCTGCATCCATCCACAGACGTGCAAGCCTTGCTGCAGGGTTTTTCTCTTTTGCCTGGCAGGTCCGCCTCCGGCTGAAAGTTGCTGAACCGCAAGAGGGATTTGGGCGACACGCTGTACATCTGTCTATATCAATGCTGCGCAATAAACATGTTATTTGCAGCCCTCCTATCAGCCTCTCCGAGAAAGCACTTTTGCTTCGCACCGCTCAAGTGGTTGGCAAGAGGAGCCGGCGATGCTTATGCCGCGGCCCCGGCTGCAGAAAAGCGGAGCGTCTTGACGAAGCGCTCCGAACCAGAGCCATAGCCACCGTAGGCAGACATGCCGTACTCGGGCGGGAGGGTGGGCCCAAAAGCTTGCGTCGTTAGCAAAGAACATGTCGGTCATGTTATTTGCAGCCCTCCTATCAGCCTCTCCGAGAAAGCACTTTTGCTTCGCACCGCTCAAGTGGTTGGCAAGAGGAGCCGGCGATGCTTATGCCGCGGCCCCGGCTGCAGAAAAGCGGAGCGTCTTGACGAAGCGCTCCGAACCAGAGCCATAGCCACCGTAGGCAGACATGCCGTACTCGGGCGGGAGGGTGGGCCCAAAAGCTTGCGTCGTTAGCAAAGAACATGTCGGTCATGTTATTTGCAGCCCTCCTATCAGCCTCTCCGAGAAAGCACTTTTGCTTCGCACCGCTCAAGTGGTTGGCAAGAGGAGCCGGCGATGCTTATGCCGCGGCCCCGGCTGCAGAAAAGCGGAGCGTCTTGACGAAGCGCTCCGAACCAGAGCCATAGCCACCGTAGGCAGACATGCCGTACTGCACCATGTTCGAGGGCCAGCCGAACTAGGCGAGCTCGCGCTCGCAAAGTGCACAGTGGTGCGTCGCTGGCGAGTGCGGGAGAGGTAGCAAAATCCAGCCAAGTCACAAGTGAGTGTAGAGTGAGCCCGCCGCCTTGATCTTCCGGGCACAAGTATCGTGCAAGGAAGTCAGGGCGGAGACGGCTCCCACCTCCTGCAGGTAGAACTCCAAAGTCTGAAGGTTTTTCAGCCTCATACGCCATTGGATCTCCTGAATCGGCACGCCGCTCCGGTAGCTGAACACGGCTCCTCCACCACGAAGTCCCCCAGGGGTAAGCCGAGCGTGTTTTGGAACCGACAACTGCTCCATGAGCTTGTTCCAGCGGTACCGGTAGGCGCCAGGGGTCAGTGGGTAAAGCCTTTCACCTTTAGGCATGTCGCGAAACACGGCTTCCAGCAAAGCTACCGCCCTGGGGTCCTCGATCTTGATGTGCTGCACGCGAGAGCGTCGTCGCAGCATCGTCTTTGAGGCCCGCAAGCAGAGGAAGGCGGCCCGTGTTGAGGACCACCAGTCGTCGCTCGGAAGGAGGAGATCCGACCGAAGAGTCGGGAGGACCTCCCCAATCCGGCCCAGTCCGTAAAAACTCAAGACAGTAACACCAGCGAAGAGCTTGAAGCCAGCTAACCAGGCTAGTGCCACCAACGCCTTCAGCACGGGCTCTGGGATCGGAATCCGGTGCTCTGTTGGCTCGGCAGCCTCCCATCGCGACACCAGTTCCCAAGCAGTCGGGGCCCAGGGCTTTAAGCCAGCGAAGCTCCTTTGAGCCCCCAGCAACGTGTGCCGGAGCTCGTGGATACTTCCTCCAGACTTGTAGAGCCAGTTCCCATAAGCGCGGAGGGCCATGGCGAGCAGAGCGGGGCACCTAGCGAAGACGACCAGACACGGCTCAGACAGAGACGGTTCAACCCAAAGCAGGAAGCGCTCCCACCCGCGGCGGCCGAGTTCGAGCGCGTTGGCACTCTGAAGAGGACGGTCCTCCAAACCCAAAGTGGAGTCGCGAGGTCGCAGGGGCCGGCGGGGCCCAGGATGAGAAGCTTCTCCAAGGCGGCCGGAAGGAGAGCCGGCGAGACAGGCAGAAAGATGGATTCCACCAACACGGGGAGCGGCACGGCTCCACCCGGCATGCACAGCGGCACAGGTCCCAAGGAATTCGGCCAGGAGGCGAGGATAGGCTTGGGCCACAGAAGTCCAGGAACGGCCGTGCTCGGAGCGGCCTCTCAACACGAGGTGCGGCCCTTTGCACTGACACAGCAGCCGGGCTCCCGCAAGAGCACCGTTGACGCAAAACCGCGTCCTCTTGCGCCAAGCGGTCCCGAACCGGCACTGGTCGAGCCGGCACACGCTACCTGCACTAGCAGCAGAAAACTCACTGTAACTAGGAAGGTTCCACATGAAAGAGCCATCCGGTCCTTCCAACCAGAAATGGCCCGACGAGCGGCCACGAAACAAGGCCAAAGCATGGGCCGTCCAATCAGCTTGCCTGTTCCTTCTGGTGACCTTTTCGAAGGCGGCAGCGCTTAAGTGAGGCAAGCCTCGAGGGAAAGCAAGGCTCCGGAACGGCGGGTGCACAGCACGGGAGAAAGAAGAGCAAGGGGGAGAAGCCCCAAAGGAGAGAATCAAGGCCTCGATGACACGCTGGAGACGAGGATCATCCAGGTCCTGAGCTGACCCGCGCACAACGTCGAGACAAAGGACCCAAGGCGCACCATGGCGCACGAGGGACCGGGCCACACCGGCAGTGCCAGAGAACAAGTCCAGGGCTCCCTTTCTAGTGAAGTCCAGAGGGCCGCGCGAGCAGGCACAAAGAAGTCACGCGGGAGGCCCTGGAGCAAAGCTAGGGCGGAAGAGGCACAGTCCAGACTCGGGAGAAGCGTCCCTTTGGGAGCTCAGCGGCACGCCTCGCTCGGTTGCGGCGGGCTCGCTGGGCTCGGCCTGCCAAGTGGCTCGGCGGAGGCCGCGGCAGCAGTGCATGGCAAGGGCTGCCTTTCGGATCGGAGGCCACCGTTGGCAAAGCATCGACCGTTTCCGGCCCGGAACTCTCGCTGGCGCGCACCTCGGGCTGCAAAGCCAGCCATTCCTGCAGAGGGCCAGGATCTCCTCGCGCAAGGTGGCTGAACCAAGAGGGCAATGGCTCGCTCGGGGCGCGCACGGCCCGGTCGCGAGTCCCGTCATCGGACGGGTTGTCGCCAGAAGCCAAGAACGCCAGACCGAGATACAAGTCTCCTCCAACCATGGTGGCGAGCGATCGCTTCAGAAGCGAGTTTAGTCCAGCAGAAGCCGACCGGCCTTTCAACGCAGCACCCAAAGCGACCTGCGAGTCGAGACCCACAAGGAGCCGAGCGGATGACATCACACGAGCGGTCCGCCTCTCGAGCTCCAAAAGCCCCCGCAACTCCTTGATGTTGATGTGCTGGCCGAGGGCCCCAGGGACGACCCAAGCTGTCCGGAAGGTGAGCGAGCGGGCCAAGGCACGCCACAAAGGGTACGGCGTGTAAGGTTTGCCGTCGGGCAGCTCGGCAGAGGGCTCAAGGAAACCTTTGGCTCTCAGCCAGGCTTGGCTCGGCGGCAGCAGCCTGCTCCAAGCGCCCTTCACAAGAGTGTGCCGGTAGGCCTCTTCGGCGACCGCAGAAGGGACCAGGGCCGAGGCGCAAGCGATCTTGTGATCGGACGCATCGGTGGTGAAGAAGACGTCGCACACCAGTTGGCCACACAGACCGGAGCAACCAACACCCAAGACCAAAGCTCGTCGGCCAAGGCAGGGCTGAGCCGAATCACGTCACCAGCACGGGTGGCACGCAGCGCCTCGAAAGCAACGTCCAGCAGGCACAAGTGCGTCGGCGCACCAGGAACACGGCCGTCCAGGACCCCACTAAACTCTCTAAGAGGGACCTAGTCACTAAGCCTAAAGTGGCAACCCTGGCTGTGATGAAGGCGAGCGGCCACACACGGGAAGGGCTCGGCCGGAGCAGGCCGCTGTCGCCGCAAAGCTTTGCTCCCCAAAACGTCGCAGCAGCAGCGTCCCGGACACCTTTCTTAGGGTTGGCTTCCAGCAGCGCAGCCTCGTAGGCGGCGTGGACCGAGTTCAGCTTTTGCACTCCGAGAGAGTCAGAGCGGCCACAAGGCGAGCCCCGGACACAGCGCTCGAGCAGCACAAGGTCATCGATCACAACGCCCACCGAGAGCAAGGATCGGGGAAAGGGGCGGCCCGGCAGCATAAGGTCTTCTCCGGAGAGCAAGCCATAATACCGCAGTACGCCTATGTGAGCAGCCTGAGCGTACTCGCAAGCAGACAGAGCAATCGCCCATCCCAAGCGTGGCGATGGCAACCCGCACTCGCCCACGATCCGCATGCTGTGAGCAATCGCGTCCGAACACCCAGCTGGCCTCGGCCTTGCTGAGGGAGCCTCGAAGAAGGTTGCGCTGGAGCCGGTCAGGCGTGGCTTCAAACAAGTAGAAGTAGTCACGCAGGTCGGCGCTGGACATCCGGATGCACTCGCTCGGCTGAATCACAAGCTGCAACAGACACTCAGGCCCAGCCAGGGAACTGGTCCATTTGGAGGGTGGGCTTTCGAGGCAGTTGGCAGGCCTGCAGTCGAGAATCAGCCGGTCGCGGGCCAAGTCCTTGATCACGCTGAACAGCTCCCCAGCATAAGGAAGCCGCTCGGCTGCGACGCGAACTGGAGCGAGTCTGCCGGACTCGGCGAGTTTCCGGAAGAGCTCCAGGCGCTGGGCTCGGGAAGCGAGCACCCGCACACGAGGAGGAGGCCGGTTAGCTGTGTCAGGCGCGGCGGCAAAGGAAGACGGATTCTCAAAGCGCCGTCTGGTAAGAGAGTCGAGAAAGGGGCTAGGATTGAAGCGGGGAGGCCCGGGAAAAGTCAGGCGATCAGCTTCGATGGTCTTTGCAGCGATCACCTCGGCACGCTTGAGGGCTCCCACAACTTTGCCAAACCTAGGCACCAAAGGTGTTACGTGCTGTGCTCCTGCTGCCTTGAAACCTTGAAAAAGGGCGCTGGAGAACCTAGTGTAACCTGGCATGGAGAAAGCAGCCGCGGCACGCGACAAAGCACCGAGCAGTCTGTGCTGGTCCTCGACTTTCGAGGCGGCCCGGCCCATGTCGGCGGCGGCGATGGGATCGGAAAAATCACTGTCCCAGGAAAGGCCCTCGATGGTTCGGACCATCCGCCATTGCGTTCGGCTGAGTCGCCCTCCAAGGCGGCACGAGGCCGGGCATTCCGCAGGGCCCCCAAGGTGGAGCCAGGAGAGCAAAGTCACGATTAAGCAAGTTTGCACCCTGCGCCAACGAAGCGGGACACCGGCAGTGCACCTGAAGACCTCGGGGTAAGGAGGGGGACAGGGCCACATCTGAGAAGTGTGCGGCGGCACGTTGCCATCGCGAATCGTGGTGCGAAGATATGCAGCAAAAGCGCCATGGCCCTTCAAAATCCAGGCTGGCAATGAATTCCAGAAGCCGGGCACATTGACAGGGGGGGCAGCAGCGCCAGGGGCGGCCCTGGCTGGACCCGGAACGCTCATTTGCTCTCCTCGGTCCTCCTCCTGCCTCCTCCTTTGCCCTTGTCCTTGCCGTCGTCCTTGGTGTGGTCCTGCTCCTCCGCTGCTCCGGTCGGGCCGCCCCGGCGATTGAGCCGCGCCCGTTTTTCCAGGAAGTCGGAGAGATCCCGAAGGTGATGGAGAGCGACCTGCGCCCACCTTCCGTCCAGGATTCTGGACCACACTTGGTCGCTGTCGCGGTCCCTGACCTCGTGAGCCTTGAACGCATGGATCGGGCACGGACTCTCCAAAGTCAGCTCGTTGGCAAGAGTCCAGCTGCCGTGGTCGGTTGCGACCTGATCCATGCAGACCATCAGGACATTGAGTCGGGCCTCGCACTCCTCGTAGGCCTTCCTCCTCGCCGCGTCCAAAGGCCCAGCCACTGCCCACGAAGTCCTGGCCAAGGTCTGGTGGGATCCTATGCGGCTCCTGTGTTCCAGCCAAGCCCTCGCACTGGGAGTGATCTCGAAGCCAGGCGTCTGCATGCTGTGGAGGTCTTCCCTCATCAGGTTCTTCCACGGTGGCTGAGAGCAGCGAGGGGTTGTCCTGCAGAGCGGCCCGCAGCGCCCGCCTCGCCGCCGCATTGCGCCGCAGAGAGGGCCCGGAGTCGGCACTGCCAGACGCGCTTGGGCCTGCGGCGTCCAGCAAGCCATCCAGAGTAGCCGGGGCCTTCTTCTTCTGCCCAGCCAGTGTTTCCACGACCTGCGTCAGACGCACCAAGCCCTCCCCGACCTGATCGAGAGGTGGCTGCTTCCGCCCGTCCGCGGTGGTCGGCGGCTCCGGCTCTCGATCGCCGTCGGACTCTGACAAAGGGTCGGCCACCAAAGGTACAGCGGCGAGGTTGCGTGGAGGCTTTGCACCAGAGCCGCCCACCAACCGGTCCATCTCTGCCAAAGACTGCCTGCTCACACCTGCGTCGAGGGCAGCTTGAGCAACGCTGGCATCCAGATGAACAAAGGCATCCGCTCGCCCGGCGCCGGCTGGCGCAGCCCTGGCTTTGGCTCTCTGCCCAAGAGCGCCACCGCCCAGTGTAGTGGCGGCCTGCGCGCTTGGCTGTCCATTCCCAGGCCCGCGCTGCTCCAGCAAAACCTTCATCCCAGCAGCGACCTTGCTCATAGCGGCCTCCAACCGATCGACTCGAGAGTCCAATGCACCGCCGCCGTCGCCCTCGGGAACGCCAGACTCCGCTGACGCGTAGGAGGTAAGCCCAGGCAGCTCCTGCACAGCTCGAAGGCAGAAGGCCGACGCCATGAGAATCCTGGCCGAAGGCCTCGTCGGGGTTGTCTCCGCTTTCGAAGGAAAGCCGCGACACCAGAGTCGCCTCGAGGAGGTCTACCCACACCTTGACGGAGGCACCTTCCGTCACGACGTGCCGGTCCTCCGCCGACACCGCAGCGATCTCGAGATGAGAAGCCCGAGTGAGCCCACCCTTGGTCAGCCGGCGCCCGGCCAACTTGCGCGACCAGACAGCTGACGGCACTGCAACAACGAACCGGCCGTCTGCTTCGCTGACAATCACAATCTCGCATGTTTGCGACCCGTCAGCGGGCACCGCCAGCGGAAGGAGGCCGGCCACAAATTCCTCGTCGACCCCGCCCGGCTGAAGCACAGCCAGATCCTTCACTTCTAAAGGCTCGCCGTCGGCCTCGGCCTCGGCAGCCATCAGACGAAGACCACGCTAGGGAAGCCGGCCGCAGCACAGACCGCCTCCACGTCGGCACGGGCTGGGAGCCCGATGAAAACACTTTGCCCACAATCAGCTCCCCGCTTGCACTCCGCCTTGGCCGCAGCGAAAGTGGAGTATGCCCGCGGAGGTGTGCAGTCGCTCCCCGAGAAGTCCCTGAAGACGATCCAGAACCTCGAAGACTGTGATATGCGGTCCCGGCCAGAGGCTCCACGGTGGTCCCCAGCCAAGGCCCGAATGATCCACAGCCCGATCTCCCTGCAAGCGCTGTCCCTCTCAGTACGCGGCAAGCTCGGCACAGAAGACTCTCCCCGAACGGGAGCCGAAGGGGCCACAGGGGCCTGCAAGGGGTCCACGTTCCAAGAGCTGGCGGCTCGAGCACGAGTGGGGGTCGCAACGGGAGTCCCTGAGTAGGAAGCTTGCCGCGTAGGAAGCGGACTCGGAGCAACTACCTCGAACTCCTCGGGATCAAGGCCCAGCGCCTCGCGGAGCACCTGCACCTCACCTTGAAGCTGCTCGACGACCCTTTCCAAGCGGTCGATACGAGCCTGCATGCACAAGCTGGGGCCTAAACCGAAAAACCCCAAGGGGCAAGGGGCAAGGGCCTAGGGCCCTAAGCCCAAAGGGGAGGCAGGCCTAAACCCGACCTAGGGGAAGGAAAGGGGCGAGCCGCAACTCCAAGCGAGCGGCAGCAGCCTAACCCCAAAGGGAAGAGCCTAAACCCGACCTAGGGATTAGGGATCAGGCGAAAGAACCCTGGGCTTTGCAGCTGTTGAGCAAGACACCGAAGGCAAGCTGCACGGATCAGCAGCAACGCTTCCAACACCGGTAGCAGCAGGACCCCAAAGCCCAGGCCCAAGAAGAACGAAGCCCAATCCAATTCGGGCAACACCGGGCAAAGAGGACAGGGATCGATGATCGGGGAAGAAGTGGTGAGCAGGTGGGAGAGGAGCGAAACCACGGAGGCACTCGACACGCCGGACACAGACGACAAGGCAAAATCCCTGGACATGCGCTCGGCCCCAAAAGCTTGCGTCGTTAGCAAAGAACATGTCGGTCATGTCAATGTGCAGCAATATCATTTAGATAAACAACAACGCTGCGTACAGCAGCAGGAAAAAACACTGTGGCACGACTGTAAATACTCAAAAGAATATGGAACATATGGAAATAAGCAGTCACGTAGCAGTACGTACTTTTGACCACCCGATGACATGATGATCAAAACACAACTATTTCCTATCGTGATACAGTACCAAAATCTCGCAGAGTCCAATTGAGGCATTCCCATCAATGCTGTTGCGCTTTCCATGTTTGCTACCCATCATGTCTGTCAGGCTTTCGAGTTGCTTCCCGTGGTTTGCAGGCTTGTTGCATCAGCCACATGCTAGTAAACGGCAAGCTTCTCTCGGATTTGGGCACACTCAGCTCAAGGGTTGCTTTAGGGAGTTTCTGCTCAACCCTGAGGCCCAGAGTCGCTGCCTGTACTCGGCATAAGTGGCGCCACCCGTGGAAGGCGAGGTTTGCTCGAGCAGCCGGACCGACTCCAGCAGCATCTGAGCAGCCGATTGGGAGACCAGCAGTCTACATCGTTCCACCATCCTTCGACCTCACTGCTTGCTACATCGTCGTAGCAGCACCAAGAACCTACTGCAGCTCCCGCCTCTTTCAAGTACGAGCCGTGAAGTGCATTGGTTGTACCTTCTGGCGGTGAACACAAGCAACTTCGATGCAGTTGCATCTCGCTTCGGAACAACTTGTGCATTGCACGCGTCTTCAAAGTAAAGAGAATTTGCGAAGTTGTGGGCCACGCTGCAAAGATGTCGAGATATTGGCAAGTATGGCAAGGGACAAAGCTGACACTAGTAACAGTGCAGGAGCCCCGCCTTGAGAATGGTGTCTGTTCTGAAGCTCTAAAAAATTGCTGAATTCCCTGACAGGACTTTTGCTTCAGTTCGCTGGCGCACTCGAAAAGAGCCCCTTCAAGCTCTTCATCGATGGGGCCTCCAGGGACTTGAAGTGGCTGCATGCTTTTGTTAGAACTCCCTCTACATAAAATCCATTCAGACATACTCCCAGACTTGTGCAATTTCGAAAGTCTCCATGATCCATGAGTATGCATGACCCACGACCATCGTCTTGGCCCGGATCAAGAAAAGTCAAGGACTACAAGGCAGATCAGAGAGATCGGCCAGCACGTCCGGATCGCTGGTGAGATCTTCCGGTCCAGGCCTGCGGCTCCGGCTCGAGTCGCGAGTGCTCCGAATGTATGTAAGCAAGCTCATGTCCTAATGTCATGTCGACGTAAACTCCATCATGCCGCACGGTCAGTGACCAAAGCTTTCCGCATTGGATCGTCTGCACAGAACAACACACGTCTGAGCAGCTGATGCCAGGCGCCCGGCGGTCGACCCTGCCACTCGAGCAGGAGCTCGTTCAAGGCATCCTGCTGCGCCTCCTGGCGACAGTTCCACAGCCAAAGCCGACATCCCTCGAACTGTAAACTGCCCTTCAGGCGGGCGGAGCAAGCCCACCAACCATGCTGCAGCATTCGGCTACTACACACTTCGCACTTCGCACGGCGTGCATGAAGGACAGTCCTCGCTGGAGTCGCTGCGCTTGCTTTGGAAGAAGGCCATCAGCCTATCTGCGTGTCTCTTGCTCCAAAGAACCACCAGCACCGACTTGATCCAATTTCGTGTGACCCGGCCGTCTCGCGTTGCGGAAAAAAGCTAATCACTCAGGTTTTCCAGCCGCAAATGCATCATGCACTTCTTTGATGCTGCTAGACTGATATTACGCCGCGACAGCTCTGAACTGGCGTGCAAAAATCATTCTGTTCGAGGCGCGCATGCTACCACACAACGAAAGCACAGAAAGCAACAGTTGGCCAAAAGGTTGTTAAATCGCTATGAGCGAAGCCCTGGTACAGAACTGAGATCGCAGAATGAAGACTTGCACCTTCCGGGTGGCAGCAATCGGCCAACCCGGACACAGCCTTAGCAGCTTCTTGACTCCGGGACACTGCAACTGAGAAGCATGCCAAAACCGCAGACTGCAATGCCTACTCCCAGTAGGGCGAAGAAAATTCAGCCAAGCAGCCATCCACTCGAGCAGGTGCTGCCCCGAAAGCCTCCTGAGAGCAACCACAGCCCGACAGCTTTTTCTCAGAACCCGCCCTGACCGGAACCTCTACTCGTCTCCGGCAGGTGGCTCGCAGAGACTCAGACCAAGCTTCCTGTCTAGCCCTCCTTCGCCCGTATGGAAACATCCCCCTTTGCCCTCGCCGGACTCTCCTCCTCCTCGAAATGGGCGTTCAAGGCCCGGTGGGCCTCAAAAGCAGAAAGGCAAGGAAAAGAGCCCCGGAAGCTCTCCGGCCCGGCCTCGAAGAGTCCCCGGAGCATGGCCAAACGCCGCCTAGAGAGACGCTTTCGACGCCTACCACACCGACTCCGATCCAAAGGCGCCTAGAGCATCTTCCCGGGACCCTACACTTGAAGAGAGGCACTCCCAACCTGAAGAGCTCTTAGAAATGTGGGCCTCACCAGACTTACAAACAGACAACCGAAACACATTGCCTTCTTCCCACCGCGAACGCAAACACAAAGCCTGTGCAAGACCGGTTCCTGTAGATCCTTCTCCGAGGTGTATGTTGTCTACAGAGCATCGCGTTGTCAGAAGTGATTCGTCTGAGAAGGCTCGACAGCCGTAATGAACGTGTAGATTGTGCCTGTGCTTGTTGATGTATGTGTTCATATAATAACTTTACGCTTGATCTGCAAATTGTTGTCGCTTAGGCTTAGATTCATCCATGAATCCATGTCTTCCGGCATGGCTATAGCCGCAGCTCTGTACATGCATAAAGTATGCTTAAGCGTGTGGCTACCTACACTGCTTGACTTGTATACATCATGAGTTCGACCAGGATGTATTTATCTATATAAGGGGCACATGTTCTAGGTCCTCAACACAAGCGAGCCACTGGCAGAACTTCCACAGCATCGAATTGCTGAGCAGCATGAGCAGGCGATCGTAGTCGCTGTGGAACTCCTGCCGAATTCCCCAACGTACCCCAAGCGGGTTAGGTGTCGGAAGTCTTCAAATCTCCGCCGTGCAGCACGAAAGAGTTCTCCTGGTTTCTCCCAAAAAGAGATCTTCCAACGCTTTCAACACCAGTGCAGTCGCGTCACGTGCCACGCGATGACAGACACCGAAGCTGCGCTGCTATGGTCACCTTTTCCTTGAGTGACCTGGCTATATGCTTCAACTCTGGGCAAGATGCAAATGATTCATCAGCCACAACATGCGAACTTAACTAAACGATCACGCACCCATTGCATGATCTGAATCTGTTTCTTGCTTAAGGCTTGAGGTGGATGGCCACATTTGCGTGGATCATTATTGCAACACATAGGATGTCTCTGAACCCTGGGCCCTGGCCTCCGCAGCGAAGTCAGAATACTTGCGACGCAGGCCGCGGATCTGCACAGCCACCAAAGTCAAGGCAAACAGGGAAGCAGAAGTCCGGATGGCATTGATAGGTAGGCACAGCTGCAAGAAGGGTCACTGTTCCGGCGACCAGGTTGGTAAACAGGATTCAAAAATTCTGATGCTCGGTCACTTGCACGCGACAGCAGAAGGGTGCTCTCAGGACATCGAGTACCAGCTCTCTGTCGCAAGTATCTGATGCACCTCTAGCAGCAGCTGACCCACGATGACCTCCTCGCAAGGACGGAAAAGCAACTCACACAGGCATGCATACAACAACAGGTGCGCTTGGCGCAAGCTATTTGGTGCATGTCTATGTTCGTGTTTGTATACACACATACATACATACACACACAGACATACATACATACATATTCATGCCAGGCTCATATAGACAAAGACATACTAGTATGTCTGTATATACAGACAGATAGGTAGATGGATCGACAGATACAGAGATAGACAGATTGAGGGGTAGGCAGATTGATACATAGATAAATGGATAGATAGATAGATGTGTGTCTATATATATATATGTATATACATATATATATATATATATACATATATATAGTATGTATATAGCTATATATACATATATATATATATGTACATATAGAGAGAGAGAGAGTAGATAGATAAATGTGTATATATATATACACATACAATATACACAGAGTATATATAGAGTATATTGTATATATACATATTATATATATATATATATACACACACATAGTGTGTGTGCACATACATATATATATATATATATATATGTGTTTTTGTATATATATATATATATATATATATATATATTTATTTATTTATTTATATAATTATACACAAATGTACGCGTATTTACAAAGATCACATGCATTATGGTGTTCCATGAATACGCTGGTGTGGAAGGCCCGGTGCCGCCTCCGAAGTCGGATGCGAGGAGGAGGCGTTCACGCTCAGGGTGTCAAAGTGGTCGGAAGCAGAACCGAAATTTCGACTGGCGCCACCTCGCAGAAGTGACGGAGCTCGGAGAGTTTTAGTGGTCATGTTGTTGAAGGCCCTTTACCTGCTGCCTAATCAAATTTGGAGAGTTTAGGCTTCAGGGTCCAAGACTGGTCGTAAGCACAGCCTCGTCTCCTGTCAATTGCACTTCAGAGAAATTCGCCCATCCAAGAGTTACACGTCACTATTCAGAGACATCTGAGGTTCATGGATTCTGCCATTCCTTATGCTGAAACCACAAAACTGGCACAGACCAAGCTGAGGGACTGCGTTCGAATGTTATTCTTCGTTCTGCTGCAGGCATTTCGCTATAAAACCATAACAGGTCATGCAGAAAGACCCAAGCTGTCGTTGCACGTGCCGAACTTTGGAATCTGCGGCTGTAACAGGTCACGCCGATGCTAGGTATCCTGTCAAGCTGGTGGCTGCTTACCGGCGATGGATGGACGACGAACCCTGGCAAAGCTCCGGCGGTGGGACGTCAAGGATAAGTGGCCTAGTGGCTTGGCCATGCTGCGCATCCGGCAACGAAGTTTCGCCATGCTGCGAAGGCAGCAGCAGCAGCAGCAGCAGCAGCGGCAGCTCTTCATAACTAGCTGATCGTGCTGGGTTTTGCGGCCGAGAAAACCACGAGCGTTTCATTTGGGCTCACCGGCAGTTTTGTACCTTTGGTCACGCAAAAGACATCCAGACTCCTTGCAGATCTGCACATATCTGAGGGTGCCCACAGACATCTTTGCCTCAAACATGGACAAGCAGAGGGCCGCCTCGTGTCCGGGAAACCGCTCCGTCGAGCTCAAAGCGGCGGTCCACAAAGGTTGCCAGAAAGGGTCCCACCTTTCCGCTTTGGCTTTTGGATTTGCTTTCTCCTTACGACTTTTGCGAGCGGCAACCCAGCAACGTTTACTCCCTATCCTGATCAAAGCTCTGAAAACGCACCCCCAAGTCTCTAAATCCCACAGAGAAGGCTTGTTTACTGTAACCCATATCCGGTCTTGCCCCCAGGCTACGCTCAGGGCATCATGCCAAGATGACTCATGGTAAATTACGCACTAGATGCAGAAGACGAAAAATACTTCTGGCCTGCTCTGGTCGGTGGTAGCCGAGCTCATACCTCAACTTCAGCGTCTAGAAGTCTGGCAAAGATCCACTCTGCGAAAGACAGGGTGCAACATGTCGCTGACGACGCTCTGGATGTCATGCTGGGCAAAATACACCTGGGCTCGCACGTAAGCAAGGGAGCAGTGAGCGACACTCTGGCCCTGTAAATGTCGCGATCGCATGCAGTCGCGCAACGTCCACATCCTCGTCGTCGAGGCGACGGGTGCTGGCCATGGCGGCATCCGAAGAAAGAAGAGTGCGGGGGAGCCAGGAAGGAGCTCCCCGCAACCAGTAGAACTAGGACTAGGGCTCAAGGTGTGCCATTGGGGGCTCGGCTGAAAAATCGAAGGTGGCCACGAATTCGCAAGGCATTTTAATGTACTTCTCTGACCTGGGCCATGAAGCTACAAGCAAAAAACATCGTCGAACACCCATGCTGGCTGGACGCAGCGACCGGCAATACGATGCATCGACAATCGATTTTGGCAGCTGGGTACTTGAAGCTACCGAAACGATCATAGCAATATATACACCAACTTCCATGTGAAAAACATGTTGAAAACACTGCAAATTGCTGAATTGAATGTACTTGTGGCAGTATCTCGTCTCCTGAACTCCTCCGGAGCAGAGAAGGCGAACATTCACGGCCTTGCTGACAGGAGCCGACTGCCACGAGGCGGCGCCAAAACTTGAGCGGCGAACTTTATTTCGGTTCCAAGCGCTCATCTGGTTGCTGAGAAAAACTATTTCGCGCCGATGCTCATGTTTTGAGGTCTTGGCTTTCATTTGAAAAATGCGGCTATAGCCCTGCTTGTTATAAACACTTGGATGTGAACCCACTTTGACATGGGCTGTCTCCTGCGACTACGACTCTGGATTATTCCGCTGGGAGAGCCTCGCGACAACTACTCGCAGCAACCATGGCCACCTGAATGCCACGACGGCTGCCACAGAGCAGCATCCCGCATGGACAGATGCCGCCTCCAAGCTGTGCCTGTACGCCACTTCCCCAACGAAGCTACCGGCGAGGTAGCATGCGCAGAAGGAAAAGTAGATCAGAATGGTTTGCCTCGGAGTGAGACTGACACGCACTTATTCTGGCGGGCTTCGCCCTCCAGCACATGTAATGCGGCTTCTTCTGTCAGTTGCTCTTGGTCTTGCCGTTTGTGCTTGGCTTGTACGAAGGAAGTCGAACTCTCACATTTCCACCGACAAGTTTGTGTTGAGATTTGGGTGCAATAATTTTATCTATTCATTCCGACACATGGTCAGCGGCCTGGCTTGCGATTTTTCATCATGACGCTCGTTTGCCGGCGTTCTGCAGCTAGATCTCTCCGAATTGATTCTCAGCCATATGATACGAACCCTTTCTCATAACATCACGTGTCGCCATCCGTTGGTGATTTCATCTGCTTATGATCATAAGCTCGACTACGAGAAAGGGCACGGCGCTGATGGATCTCACTGACTAGGTCCACGGTGCGTTGTTGCGCAGGGGTCTAGAATTCTGTAAAGCTTCTCCATCTTGGCAGTGGTGATTGTCATGGCTGTTGTGTGCTCTATGGCAGTGTAAATCCTGAGCAGCGGTTTGCCGGTTCTCGTTGCCGTCAGAGTAAACCAGCAAGCTCGATAACGGTCTATCTTCCACAACACTGGCAAGCCCGTCTTGCGAGGCCGGCGCTGAAGTTCAGGAGCCGGCTTACTTTGGCCACGTTTTTGCCACCCAAGCTGTCTGCAAAGGGCTTAAGTAACGGCAGAAGCTTTGAAGCCTCTTTTCAAGCTTTCTCGAAGAGCATGCATAGAACCGGAGTCAGTTCTGCGGTGCAAGCCCGGCTCTGGCTCCTGAGTCCTGTACTCTGATGTTGGGGTGGTGTGAGCTTCGGAGTTTCGGATTTGGGGTGGGAGAGTCGTATCGGGCGTCGGATTAGGGTTCTGGGACTGCTTCAACGTCAAATGGCTTTACACAAGCCAGTTTAACCAAGCTGCAAGTACTGCTGAGTGCTGCCACCTGGCCCTATAGCAAAACGGTCGCAGAGATGGTAAAGCAGCCGGATGCAAACCAAAAACCAGCAAAAGCAGAGGCCGTAGACGTGGCCAATCAATGAGGACAGGACCTTAGAGCTCTCGCTGTAGGCATCTTGTCAACTTCCTTCGTTACGCCCCACTCTTCCCTCACCCCGCTCCAAGCAGTCCTTCTCCACTGCATATGAGGCGCTACAGGCAAAGGCGCTCCGCCCAACCACAGGGAAATAGTTTCGTCGATAGTTACGCTGATGGGCGCAGTGGCAAGAAGCACGCAATAGGCGAAAGGCACGTCACCGGTCGTCGAGAAGCGCTCGGAAAGCTCCTGGAAGAGTGGCCCCTGCACAAACCTCTCGAATTCCTCATCGCTGCCGTACCATGTGTTTATCGCCGAGTGCACGAAGAGGTAATCGAAGACCTCCGTGCACTCGGCCGAGCCCAGTTGGAAGTGCTGGAGCTCCGCAAACATCTGCCTCTTGGCATGAAAAAGTCGCCGGAGCCTGTGGATCAGAATGCCCAGGGGCAGTGTAGAGATACCCAGCGGCAGCAGCTCACTCTTGAAGATGCCGAGAAAGCTCAGGCCGGAGGCCATGGCGGTGAAGTAACACCAGGCCGAACACCAGAGCACAGCTGCGCAAAGAAGAATGGACTGCTCCATGAAAACTGGACTCAGAGTGATTTTTCCGCTGGGATTCGCCACGCGATAGGCGGCCAGCTCGAACACACCTGGGCATGCCAGGCTGCGAGGCGGGATTCAGGAGCCCTGATAACATGTTACTGGTAGAGCATGATTGGAGACCTCGTCCCTCCAGCAACATGCAACGGGCATCTTCAGCCGAGCAACACCACAATCGATGAAGATACGAAGGCGTCCACAAGACATGCAGCTCCTTCGCTTTCTTCAGAAATCCTCCTATGCTGTAGATGCCACGCTCCTTAAGCTCGGGATCTCTTTGGTGGATGCACGCCACATCCTGAGCACAAGCATGGCTTATGTAACAAGCATACGCAAGCTATGCTTGGGCAGTTTGTTGTTCGGCACCTACGTTGTCAACCCGGCCCTCATACATCCAGCTTTTGCGAGGTTCCAAAAAGCAGATCCTAGCACCCTTGGCGGTCGGGGCGTATGGAATGGCGATCGACGACAGGACCTGTGTGAGCATTCCGGCCGCCGTGGCCCAAGGTGAGAGTGGGCAACGCGAGGAAAAGTTCATGACCTGCACCTCGTGTGAGAAGGGTGCCGGCAGCAGATCTGTCCAGAGCTGAATGCATACAGCGATGAGCAATGCCAGTGTCCAGAGTAGCAACGACAATGACCAACCTGTGCTGAGTAGTAGTGACAGCAGCTTCTCACTTCCTGATGTCCTCCACGTGTGGGAGATGAAGAGATCATATTCCCTCACTGGCCGGGACTTCCGCTCGAGCTTCGACCAAGTCTCGTCCGTCATGTTTCTCTGGCACAGCCGCCAGACCCAGCCAAGACCCTGCAGTGTCGAGCAGACGGAGACTCCGCGGAGAAGGGAGTTGTCGATCTCAAAGTGCCCGAGGTGTCCGGAAGCAACGATGTCAGACATCTTGTGTTCCAGATCTCCGGAACTCAGACGCAAGAGCCTCTGTGGTGACATCATTTGCGCAAGGCCCAAGTTGGCATTCTCGGAGAGTATTTGACCCATCTTCACGCTGCTATTTACACTTATGACTTCGTCAGTGGCTGCATTGTCCACGTCATTTGGCTGAGCTCCACCACAGCCTTTGGGCGAGCACTGCAACTCTTCTGCATGCCGCACGCAATGACATTCCGTCAGCCAGGACTGTGTCATACTTCAAAGAACTCTGCTGCTAGCTGGCTCGGCAGCTTGGGCATCAGTGACGGACAGGTATTTGGGTGTTGCAATCGCATGTCATCACTGTGTGGATGACCAATGCCGCGGAAGAGAGCAATGGCATTCAATTGGCATCGCGCCCTGGAACCTCGAACTTGAATCAAAGCCCGAAACCCTAAACCTTAAGCCTTCTGTCGGCCACGGTTTTGGCTCTCGCAGGTTCTCCCCGCTCCGAGCTTCGCATGCTTCGCGTGCTCCCAAGCGGCCGGGTTCCCACTTCGTGCAAACTCCAGACGTCAAGGGCATTAACCCCAGGGTATCTCCGGAAACTCCACCGTTAGACGGATTCTGGCTGAGCCTAGTTACACCTTTACACCTGCTTACTTAAACCTTCACGACCTGCGGCTCGCCAGGAATCTGCCCGTCAGTTATGGTACATAAATAATGCCTGCAAGGTCTTGCAGGGGCAAAGCTGCAAATTGGCATATACACATGCCCTGCTGATTTCTACGTGGCCGACCCACGCAGAATAGCATGGTTAGATCGCCGATGTGATGCTTTAAACACAGATAACCGCTCTCGGAGTTCTTGGTCAAATGCCAAGCATTCGGTCAATGGTGGGGCAAGACTGTCTTTTCGTCCCTTAAACATGTTCGCAAAGCAGACACGACTGCCCTCTTCTTCTTTTCGAAACTCAAGCGAGCTTCGCTTCAGTTTCCGCTAGGATCTCGACAAAAGCCATGGAGAATTCGCACACCACCGAAGCTGTCCCTCAGTGCCTCGACTACAGACCGTTACAGCATGTTCATGTTGGCGCGACCCTCAACGGCCAAAAGGAATGAATCCGGGAATCCAGGAGGGAGACGGAAGGAGATATGTATCGGAAACCAAAATCATCCGGCAGATGATGCTACACAATCCGACACCGAGTCTAAAAGCGAGACACAAACAGATTTTAAGGGAAACAAAGAAGATACCACGACGGGAGACTCGCCACGGGGAAACGGGGCGCGTCTTGGGATTCGGCTCCCGGTGCAAGTCGGATGACTTCAAAAGTGCTGTCTGAACTTCTCTCGATGACGATGGAGCGGAGCACGAGCGGACGCTGTGAGACATGTTGTCCAAAAAGAAGCACGCACTCGATGCGCATAGGGCGATGCATGTTTGCCTGAACAAGGACCTTGGGATGCTAGTGCATTTTTCCGAACACCGATCTTGGAATAACTCGGTACGTGTCACGCGTTGGCGATCTAACCGTGAAGCAGTCCATGTTTCAGAATCCGCGTCACATGTGGAAGGGATACTCACGGCAGGACCACAAGCAATGCGACGTCTCAAAGCGTCCATTGCAAAGCATGCTCCCCGAACCACTCACGCGGCTGACGGGCCCCAGCATCCTGGCATGCCATTCTCTCAGATGACAAAAGCAAGCCAAGCAGAATCTGCGGTCAAACTTCACCATCTTCACCGAACAAGAGCTGCGATCTGTCGTGGAACCCCTCCAGCCGAGCTGCATGAAGGCAGCTGCTACTTACACCTGGATTCCGACTGAATATCATCCGAGATGTAGCAATCCCAGTCCTCAAGAGGCGGCGGCGGGCGCTTCCGCGGCTGCGGGAGCCTGCCGGCAAAGAAGCCCCCCTGAGGCCCGGCCCTGCCCCGGTAAGACCCAGCAGGCTCGGCAACGCGGGCCTCTGCCGCAGCCTCTGCTTCCGGGGCCACCTCCGGCACTACGCTGCTGCGCTCCACCAGCTCCGTGAAGGACTGCAGGACCTCGGGCGCCGCAGAATTCGGCGCCGCGTGGTGAACAGCGCGCGAAGTTCTTAAAACTGCACACTGCATCCATCGCAACATAAGGGTGTTAAAGTTAAAAGCGGGCTCGGGATCAACACTGGGAAGGAAGGGTCGCCGTTGCGCACTGCGGCCAAGAGGCTCCTGTCTTGAAGTCCTCCAAGCTCTCCTGCCCCCAACGGTTTGAAGGGGCCTTACTGGAGCTGGATGCAGGTCCTTGTTGCTCTTGAGCTCCGATGCTGTCGCCTTCATCTCCGGTGCCAGGGCCTCAAGGGGCGATGGGCTGAGACTGGCACACCTCGGCAAACATCGAGCTCCTGACCTTGAGAGCTTTAGCCGCCGCCTTTTCGGCGGCCACTGCTGCCTTCTGCGCATCCACTGCGGCCTGCGCAAAGTGCTGCAAAGCAGAACACTACCAACCGACCACAGCATCGGAAGAATTTGGCCTTGCCTTGGCTGCCTCTTTCGTAGCCGTGTCCTGAAGCGGACTTCTCTTGTGCAATTCGGGCTGCCTGTGAATACCCCTGTGCCGAGCAAAGGGCTCCTGCCTGAATGTAAGATCTACATATATATATATATATATATACAACTCTTCACATCAGAAGAGTAACAAGAACGTGAAATGCACAGATCTCGCCCCTGGTGCTGCCGGGTTATTGTCCCAGTCTCAAGAACTCAAAGACACCGGTACTTGTGAGGTAATGTAGGTCGCTGCACTCTTCACCTCACTGCCCCAAAAACACACGCCCACGTCCGTTCTGCACGGCCATAGGCCAGTTACGGAAGGGCCCAAACCCTTAAAGGCCGGGCTACGGCTAAAAGGGCAAAAACTACCTGGTCGGCCACCTCTGAGGTGATCCGGGGTCCCTGGATCTTCTGAGGCGGAGTCCTGCCTGTTTTCCTGCTTCAGCTTTGACCCTGGGCCTGCCGAAGACTAGCAGAAATCAACCCAGCAGCAGCCATCTCCCTAACTCCTTTTCCTCAGTTCACTCGTCGAACAAAACTGTCTGTCACCCACATGACAGGGCATCTGTCACAAGTGTGCCACAAATGATTGGGCTTCACCCTTACACAGAGTCCCTGTCACATCCTTCACAGGGACTCCACACATCCCTATAGGGTTGTCCGTGGGCCAGCGTGTGGCCGGCCGGGTTGCCCCTGATAATATAAATGTAATGATACATATCTATATATATATATACACGTATGTATGTATATGTACACCTCTATATATATATATATAGATATGTAGTATTTATAAATATATTTCTCTCTCTCTCTCTCTGGAAGAGCCCCTGCACTCCTTGACCTTCGCCGCCTCTTTCTGCGCGGCTGCAATAGACACCTGCTTCTAGGGCAACTTGGGCAAGAAGAGCAACTCAGGCGAGGTCGGTACAAAAGCAAAGGGGCTGAGCCGGCCGCCTTCTGCGCACGCGCCTCCCGCTCGGGGGCGCCTGCTGCCAGGGTCTCGCTCAGCTCACCGAGCCTCCAACAGCCAGGAAGGCGCAGCTCTCTCCAAGTTTCTCTGCAAAAGGCGACATGCAGGCCTTTTCTGCAACTCATCCTCGACCTGCAACCAGATTCTCGACCACACGGTCCCGACCCGCTAACGATGCCATCCGATGGCGACAAAGACACACATGGCCACCCGCCGCAGCCAGTAGTTCCTTGATAGCACCCCTGCATCCTTCGTGACATCAACCGGGTACCTGCTTCACCACCACGTGGTCGAAGGTGCCGCGACCGGCTGGCTCCTGTCAGCGACTTGCAACGACGGTTACCACCGATCCCTTGCGTGGATCCTTGCCCAGCGCGGACGGCAGCGATGTCAGCAGCGCTGTGTCGAAGCCTGTTGGAGGTGCTGACTGGTAGGTGGCACGTTGGCTCGGTTGCCTCTACCGCTGAACCGTCAGCCCTAGAGCCATCATAAGTTAGTCTCATGTTGACTCTCCTTGCCGAAGGCTGCAGACGCTTTGGAAAAAGCTTGTGAGGTTTGCTGCACCTTCGGAGCGACCGAGCTTGGTGATCTCCTGGATGGCCTGGAAGGTTGCGCCGTGCGCCGAACGTCCCGGTGTCAGAACACGGCGTCAGATGCTCCGCTGCCTTGGACTTGGAGCTGGCCTCCACGGTACCATCCTGATCGTCGCAGCGTCTCCCGTAGGCGAGAGGCTTTCAACATCATGTGGACGAGTCGGATCCATGGTGCACGCAGCAGCAGCCTTGCACGGGACGAAGACCGATGTCATCACTGTCCTTGAGATGATGCCACTTCCATCGAACTTCGGGACACGTGAAGGTTGTGGAAGATTGGGCTGGCAGTTAAGGCTTAGGGCGGCGCTCCAGCTTTTCCTTCTTCGTCTCTGCCTGGACAAGCTTCGTGTCACCGGCCTCGTGCAACAGAACGAGGACTCTGCACAAGGGCCGGCAAATTTTGCAGGGCCGGAAACGCGTGGCCTTCTGCTCCTGCTCGGCCGTCTTGTGGGCCTGCGCCCACCCAACGAAAGGTTTTCCCTTGGCTCCTCTGCACCCGTCCGCCTTTTCAGCGGCGCTGAGCTCCTCTGCGGCCACCTCGGCCTCCTGCCCCGAGGTGACGAATGTCACAACACATGATTTTAGGTAACACCAAGCAGCATTCGCGAGTGCATGCGCATCTTACAGCAAGTCACAAGTGTTGTAGCGGATGGCATCAGCAATGTTAAACTAGGGCAGCCTGCTTCCTCCCTGAACAGAGGCTGGATTCTCCTTCTTGGTCGTCTCCATGACGGCGGCTTTCTCTTCAACGGCCTTTTTGGTCTCCTGTCACTGGCAAAATGCCTCATCCACGGCTTTCGCGGGCGCTTCCCACCCCACCTCCACAGCAGCCTGCCCAGAGCAGCGTGCAGATTGGCTGGTTCAGATATGTTCAGATTCACTTGGAAGACAATCGTTTCGGCCTCTCGCTTGGTCTTCTCCGCATCTCCAGATGCGATCTTCTCCTGCACAGCTCTTGAGCAAGAGCGCCATCGCACTACCCAGCAGGTGTCCGTCCTCGGCACCTGAGATCTTGGACTCGAGGTCAGCCTGCACAAAACCGGGGGAAAAAAGGTTGGCTCGGCCTAACTTATTCAGGCGATCAGCAGACCGGCTAGAACTCGTCCGCGCATGCAAGACATGTAACTGAATCACGAGCCGCGTGCCCGGAAGCACCTGGACAGATGCGAGCACCTCCGCCGTCATCGCGACAGTGCGAGCCTGCTGCGCCAGCAGATTGCGAGGCGCTGCGAGAGATCGGAAGCTTTCGGTCGCCTGGAACTCGTGCCTCTCCTCCTTCGTCTCGCCCAAGCCTGAGAGTCGCATCTAAAGACAGGCTCTGCCGAGCTGGCGTCGGAGCACTCTACACTCAGGGCTCAGCAGAGAGGCAGGCTGTGGCCTCGGCACTCACCCCTTCATCCCCCGCAAAAGGGTGAATCTGACACACCAAATACCCGCGTTCAATCACTTGCGAATGTTTGATGATGTTGCGGGGTGCTACGGCGAGTTCGCCGGCTAAGCCACGAACTCAACATCTCGATGACATGCTTCGGGTAGCTGCTGGACTTCAGCGCAGACGCAATCTCCTGGAAGCCATGCGAGTAGCACGAGTCCGGCAAACTCAGGATGCTTGAAATCTAGGCAGCGGGACTCTCTTTTTGATGCACAGCTGGCCAGAAAGGTTCGCTAGCTCGGTTGGCACATTGAGAAGGGGCACCAGCATAGCTATCTAGTTTTTGCTTCCTCCGTTTCCTATTCTAGTTGTTCTAATTGTTACAGTACTTAGCAACAAGCTCGTCAAAGATTCGGTGATTGATCTTGTTGCTACTGATCATCTGCAGGGAGTCTGCCTTTATCCCACAGCTTGGGTTTACTCGGAGCGTCCTTGCACATTTTGCCGATGGCCGGGCCCTGCAAAAGAGGCTTTGCAGGCAAGGCATTTGCATGGCTCAGACGCCTATCACGCCTAGACACGGCTATGGGCCCTTCGAGGCCCTTCGCTCCGACCTTGGCCTTCTTCGCTGCCGAGCCGGCAGTGGACGCAGCTGGGCGCTTGGCAGGGGCCTCCGAGCTCTCGCGAAGCTCTGTGCAAAACACTCGCGAATACGAAGTAAAGGCGTTTTCTCATTTGAGAACCGCGCCATGGTTGGAAACCTTCAGCAAGCCAGTCGACATGCACAAGCTCGTGCTTACGTGTCTCGCAATCGCATCACGGCACCTGAACAGCCTGTGAGTCCCAGGCAAGGAGGACGCGAAAAGCGCAAAGAGGGGCGTGCCGTATGCTTTTTTGAACCAGAACGTCATGCGACACAACCAGTGTCAACCCGCACTACTTGATGGTGCTGCTGCAGGAAGGGGGAGCAATGTCATTCGATTGGCATCGCGCCCTGGAACCTCGACCTTGAATCAAAGCCCGAAACACTAAACCTTAAGCCCTTCTGTCGGCCACGGTTTTGGCTCTCGCAGGTTCTCCCCGCTTCGAGCTTCTGCTTCGCGTGCTCCAAGCGGCCGGGTTCCCACTTTCGTGCAAACGCCAGACGCAAGGGCATTAACCCCAGGGCATCTCCGGAAACTCCACCGTTAGACGGATTCTGGCTGAGCCTAGTTACACCTTTACACCTGCTTACTTAAACCTTCACGACCTGCGGCTCGCCAGGAATCTGCCCATCAGTTATGGTACATAACTAATGCCTGCAAGGTCTTGCAGGGGCAAAGCTGCAAATTGGCATATACACATGCCCTGCTGCATTCTACGTGGCCGCCCACACAGAATAGCATAGTTAGATCGCGGATGTGACGCTTTACACACAGATAACCACGCTCGGATTCTCGGTCAACGGTGAGGCAAGACTGTCTTTCCTTCCGTGGAAATCTGAAGTTCTACCCTGTACTTCCCTCTGAGCTTGTTCTCGGCGTTCGCGATCGTGAGAGTCAAGCCGGGTTCGGGTCATTTTCAGCTAGGCTTCGCTATTGCACTGCAGACTATTGCCGAATGTCCGTTTTGGTTTCTTAGCTGCACCAGTCACGGCCCAAACAGCCAAAAAGGAACAAGGGGGTGCTTTTGAAGGCAGGCAGACGAATGAGACCATGAATGGAGTCGTGTCCGTCCGACTTGTTCAAAGTGCTGTCTTCTGTTCGTAAAGGCAAAGCTTTCTGGAGTCGCATGCACACTGAACAAAGAAGAACACTAGCACGTTGTCCAAATAGAAGCACGCACTGGATGCATGGGGACATGATTGCTTGCCTGATCAGGTTGTCTGCGCATGGGGAGAAGGTTTTAGTCCGAACACCGATCTTGGAATAACTCGGTACGTGTCACGCGTTGGCGATCTAACCGTGAAGCAGTCCATGTTTCAGAATCCGCGTCACATGTGGAAGGGATACTCACGGCAGGACCACAAGCAATGCGACGTCTCAAAGCGTCCATTGCAAAGCATGCTCCCCGAACCACTCACGCGGCTGACGGGCCCCAGCATCCTGGCATGCCATTCTCTCAGATGACAAAAGCAAGCCAAGCAGAATCTGCGGTCAAACTTCACCATCTCACCGGAGCTGCGATCTGTCGTGGAACCCCTCCAGCCGAGCTGCATGAAGGCAGCTGCTACTTACACCTGGATTCCGACTGAATATCATCCGAGATGTAGCAATCCCAGTCTGAAGGATGCCTAAGGACCTAAGTGACGCTTCTCAGGGCCTCAAGAGGCGGCGGCGGGCGCTTCCGCGGCTGCGGGAGCCTGCCGGCAAAGAAGCCCCCCTGAGGCCCGGCCCTGCCCCGGTAAGACCCAGCAGGCTCGGCAACGCGGGCCTCTGCCGCAGCCTCTGCTTCCGGGGCCACCTCCGGCACTACGCTGCTGCGCTCCACCAGCTCCGTGAAGGACTGCAGGACCTCGGGCGCCGCAGAATTCGGCGCCGCGTGGTGAACAGCGCGCGAAGTTCTTAAAACTGCACACTGCATCCATCGCAACATAAGGGTGTTAAAGTTAAAAGCGGGCTCGGGATCAACACTGGGAAGGAAGGGTCGCCGTTGCGCACTGCGGCCAAGAGGCTCCTGTCTTGAAGTCCTCCAAGCTCTCCTGCCCCCAACGGTTTGAAGGGGCCTTACTGGAGCTGGATGCAGGTCCTTGTTGCTCTTGAGCTCCGATGCTGTCGCCTTCATCTCCGGTGCCAGGGCCTCAAGGGGCGATGGGCTGAGACTGGCACACCTCGGCAAACATCGAGCTCCTGACCTTGAGAGCTTTAGCCGCCGCCTTTTCGGCGGCCACTGCTGCCTTCTGCGCATCCACTGCGGCCTGCGCAAAGTCCGGCAAAGCAGAACACTCCCAACCGATCACAGCAGCGGAAGCATTTGGACTTGCCTTGGCTGCCTCTTTCGTAGCCGTGTCCTCAAGCGGACTTCTCTTGTGCAGTTCGGGCTGCCCGTGAATACCCCTGTGCCGAGCAAAGGGGTCCTGCCGGAATGTAAGATCGTCGCGCGATATACATATATATATATATACATATTTTATATACATATATATATACACACATACACACGCATAAACATTTTCCTTCCTTCTGTCCTTTGCCTGGAGCAGCAACAGTCCGACTGTCGTCAGACCCGGATGTGTGTATATATACATATATGCATATATCTATATATGCAGTTTTATATATATATATATATATCTTACTTTCTGTCCATCTATCTATCTCCTGATCCATCTATCTATCTACCTTTCTATCTAAGTGTCTATGTGTGTGTATATATATATATACACACGCATCTGTGCGAATGCTAGTATGTGTACATCTCCCTCTCCCTCTCCGTCTCCCTCTCCCTTCTTCAACAGGCGCAAGGGGTTTGTTAGGCCTTCTGGGCCCGGGCTTCGAAGGTGTGTGACAGGCTAATTGTGTTCCTCTTCTTCTTCTTCAACACGGCCAGGGGACCCCGCGCGGATTGGCACACCGGGAAATTAGCGTGCTGAAAGGACGGTTTGCCCCCGGCTACTGTTTGCCCCCGACGGTGAAAAGGTCGCCGCGACTGCAGCTTGTGTTCGAGAAGCCTTCGGCTCCCCTCTCGATCGGCTGTACAGGAGCTGTCAACACGAGCAGCTCCCTGGTAAATCACGGGGGTCGCACCAAAAACATGCAGTCCGGCTCTGTGGCCGGCTTCTGCCCCTATCGTCAGTACAAGCTTCTATCTAAAATGCGGCTCCCCAATTAAGGTTTCACAGATCTCCCGAGGATGGTACAGCCAAAAGCGAATTATCAACGTGTCTAGGTTCGTCACTCGGAATTCGAGGATTGTGACCATTTTGGTCTGGTTTCGAACGGGCGCCTAACTTCGGGGGTTGGAAAAGCTGCTTCAGTGACGCATTACTACAAGTGCCAAACTGCCAAATGTTCCATGCGATTCCCCCGTTGTTCCTACGACTGTGCAAGACACATACGGCATCACGGTTGGCCGTTGGAGCAAACCATCAAAAGAGCATCCATCAGAGAACATGCATAGCAGAAGAGCAGGTGGCGTAGTTACCTCGAGCCACCTGCAGTCCCTGACAAGGTAAATTCTCGGCAATGTGGTGAAAGATAAAGGCAAATCAAGTGGTTGATAATGGCAATCCGGATGCATTCAGCAGCAGTACAGCTGAAACGCCGTGGCAGCGATAACGAAGGATGGAATGAATGGGCTACCTGTGCGGAGGCCCACGTCGCCTAAGCCTTCGTTATTGCCCCAGTCAAGAACACACAGGTGGGGTTGCGGCGACTGTTGCAAGGCTGTGGTAAACACTCAAGGACACTAGTAAGGTACTGCAGGTCGTTGCAGTGTTCTTCGCCGAGCGAAGCCGAAAAGAGCGAAGCCGAGGCGAGCGAAGCAGGGGCGAGCGAAGCAGGCGCGCGTGGCGGCCGCCGAGGCGCGGTGGAGTTGTGGCAAATTTTCGGCTTAGGGCTGCGTGAGGGGTTCAAGGCATGGAGGTCAAGGGATGTGGGCTCTGAGGCTGAGGATTCAAGTTTCTGGGTTTGGGCTGTTTGGGGTTTATAGGGTGATACGGCAGAGCAGAAAAACCATGTTCAGGTTAGAATGTGAACCGGATGTAGCGTCCAATCAACTTCCGTCGGGAGGGTACCTGGCGTGGCACGATTTACAGGGAAACTAAGGAGGAAAACAACAAAATGTCTCGACCCGGAAGATGGCCGGGGTACCTAGGCCTGGAAGAAAAGGACATCCCTACGGTCGTCCTGGGACCAGCGTCTGGCTGGCCCGGGTTGCCCATGAGCCAATGAGGTTGTGTATCTCTCTCTGATTCTCTCTCTCTCTCTCTCTCTCTCTCTCTCTACCGGGCTTGGGGATTGGGGCAGCGTCCAGGCCCCGCTCCCCGTGCAAAGCGCACACCCGCAGTCCGCGGGATGTCCGTTGCCCTCGTGGGAAGTTTGTCCCCCCGAGGCTCAGCTGGACAGAACTTGTGGGTTCTCCCATTCACTGTCCCCCCTTTGGATACACTGTAGGCGGGTGGACAGTGTGGGTCCCCCGTTGTTTGCTGCAGCTCTCTCAGCTTGTTTCTTTCTCAAACATGATCGTAAAGGGAGACTGTTACTCGCTCTGCAGACTGGAAGCTGAGGTCCCGGCCAACACATCACACGATTGTAAGTTATAAGGATACAACATATAGTAATTCCCCCGTCATGCTTGGCCGAGGCTGCGCAGTATGGTATAACATTGTGAGACATGGGCTGCATGGGTGGCTGATTGACACAGGTGAATCCCCCCAGTTACGGACTTTCTTTAATTCGACAGTGGTACTCCCCCGGCTGGTGTCAATAAGGCCCATGCTTCCCATAAAAGGCAGCCTGAAGTCGTCTCCTTCTATGGCTTCCCCCGTCATCATCGTCATGACGTGGGGATCGTGAGCGTGCTCTGTTGGCACTCAGTCCAGCTTGCCCCCCGTGTGGCGGTGGGTTCCAAGGCAGAGTCGCGGCTTCACTTTCTTCTTGCGTGGGGATGGTTGACATCTCCCCCACTTGGTTGACTGCTTGTTGCAGGCTCGCAGTCATCAGTTCAGCCATTTGTCCGGCTGTGAGGGCTCCGTTCCCCCCATGCATCTCGATGGGCTCGGTCTCGGTCGTTGCCTCCGCGTTGTTCTCGCGAAGCTCCGTCTGGATTTCGTCGGGCTCCACGGGCTGGTCGGTGTTGGCCGCCACGTTGCCGTTGTCATTGTCTTCCCCCGTCTGCGTCTGTTCGTGCACTGCGTGGGCGCCCCCGAACATGGCTTGCTGCCATGCTTCCAGTGCTTGAAGTGTCTCCACTATAGGTACCACGAGTTGGTCGTTGAGGAAGGGCACCGTATTTTTGAGTCTCCCCGCGGCTTGCAGCAGTCTTGTGGTCGCGGAGGATCGTTGCGAGGTGCGTGCTTGCCACTCGGTGGTAGCTTCCCCCGCGAAGGCAATTGCATCCGCCGGGTGTGCTGCAGTTGGTTCCTCTGCCATGACCATTGCTTCGCCCCTCTTGGTCGATAGGAGGGCTGCTGGCGCCAGTAGGTCATGTAGCTCGTTCCACCATGTGAGGGTGTTCCACTGTCTGTCTCCCCCCAATGTCCTGAGGATGACCTGGTCGATCTGGTGGTACGCAGCCGTGAGCTTGAGGGTGGCCTTGTTGAGGTTCTGCTCGCTGACATCCCCCGGCATTGGGTCTTTGAGCTCGGCTAGCCCAGTTTCTACCATGGCTCGTAGCTGGCTCAAGTCAGTTGCGTACTCCTCTGGTGTAAAGCCTTCTCCCCTCCTGACTCTCATCGAAGCCACAAAACGGTAGGCTTCGCTGAGTCCGGAGGGCCCTGCAAAGGCCGCCTGTGTCCCCCCAGGTCGTGAGTGAGGGAAGCTGTCAGCTTGTGTAAGCATCCTCAGCGCGATGGCACATATAGCTGAGATAAGTTCCCAGTCTCGGTTGTCAAGCCCGTCAGCGATCTCATGTATCATCTGCAATTGGGCCATCGCAGCTTGGATGGCGCCTCCTTGAGCAGCGAGGAGCGCTTGGGCATCCATGGGCCCGGTGGGGTCTGCCATTGCTGTCCCCCTCGGGTTGGTGGAGCTTGCAGCGGCGGCCCCCCCCGACGTGTGGCGGCGCCTGCGGAGCTGGTCTGCTAGTGGCGTCCGTCGTCGTCGTCGAACCAGACCGCAGTTTTCCTCGTCCGTGGTGGTGCCGTCGAGGTGGTTCCCCTCATCTTCCTGCGAACCTGCCGTTGGTGGCGTCGAGGGCGTGGTGGTAGTCGAGGTTGTAGTGGTGAATCTCCCCCTTTGCATGAGCTCCGTGTTTTCGGTCTCCATGGTGTCTGGGGCTGGTGCTGGGCTTGGTTTCGGTCCAATGTTCCTGCCATCACGCACTTGGTGCCACCATGGTGTCGGGGTCGGTGCTTGGGTGCGCGCTGCTGGAGCTTGTTGTGCCTCTGTACTGGAGCGGCGCAGGGTTCTCCCGTCCGAAAGGGGGTGTCTGTGCTGAGGTGGTTGTGGCTCCGGTGGTGGTTGTTGTGGTGGATTCTGTGGTTGTTCCTCTGGCTGTAGGAATCGGTCTGGTGTCGTTGTAGTGAATTGCATGTGCCATCGGCTGTTCCCCCGAGTCATGAGGAACTGGTCTCCCACCTGGAGTGCCAGACTGTACGGCTCCTGTTGTGCTGTTGTGGGCGTCTGCGTGACCGTGGCTAGCCATCTTCTTTCCGAAATGGGCTCTTGCAGTAGCCACGTCTCCCCGCTTATTGGGGGGTAGGCCGCCATGGGCATCCCCACCGTGGGAGGTGGGATCGCTCCCTCACCTGGAGAGGTTGGCAGGTCTTGGCTGTATGCGATTCTCGTCAGCCATTTCCCTGCGCGTAGAGCTGTATGTGTGACGTCAGTGGCTCGGGAGTGTGGAAGTGGCGGTGGGACCGTGTGCTGTCCCCCGAGGGTTGGGGGTCGAGGTGGTGGTGGTGGTTCTTGCTGTGTCCCGTCTGGTGTCGGTTGTGGTTGGGCCTGCCGCGGTGGATAGTAACTGGTTCCCTGTGTGTGGAGGCTGCTCGTGAGGGGCGTCTGGGTGCCAGTACGGTGTATAAGTGTCTGCTTTGGTGTGTTATGGCTCTGCCGTGCCGTCGGCAGGTTCCGGTTGTTGTGGGGGTGGTGTTTCCGGCTGGAGGTGCTTGGGTAGTGGCTGTCCTGGGTTGAGGAGGCGGAAAAGTGCTGCTCTGGTGGCTGTCCTGTGGTGGGCGGGCTGTAGTCGGGACTGCTGTCTCCCGCCTGGTGGTGTGGGGTGCTGTTCGTCGTCCAGGAGGTGGTGTTGTCTTGGTATTGGAGGTGTTGGTCCCATCTGGTGTGGTGGAGACCGTGAGCTTTGAGCCATCTTTTCATGCGGTACTTCTCTGCTTTGTTGCGGGTGCGTGTGGCTCCCCCGCCTTCGTGTTTTCTGTGGTGGTGCTGTGGCTGGTGGCTGCTGCGTCGTCGAGGGCTGCTGGCGTCTGCGGGTGGGTCCCCCGCCGGTTGGCCATCCGCTGTCGTGGCGTTCGGGAAACCCGGTAGGAGTTCCCGGTGGATGTAACTCGTGGGTATCTCCCCCGTTGTTATCCAATGGTAGTGTTCGCGCATGGTCATGCCGGGGATGGCTTTGGTGCCACCTGGTGGCAGGTTGCTGCCCGTGGCGGCTTGGAAAGGGTGCTCGCGGAAAGGTTTGCGCGGTGGTTCCTCCGCTGGTGTTTCTCCGCTCGGTGCTTCTGCTGTTGCTTGTGCGTCGTGGTGGTGGGCTGGTTGCTCTGCAATGTCTGCATTCGTGGGTTGTGTTTGGGTGGAAGCGGCTGCTGTCGGGTCGTGGAGTCTGCCCATGGGTCGGTGTCTGGATTGTACGTGGTTGCATATGCTACTCCATGCGGGCCGTGTGGTCGTAGTGGCCCCCCCGTGGGTTGTTGCTCCGCACGGTGTTGGTCAGCAGGTGGCTCGATGATTTGGCCATTTGGATCTCGTAGGTTCCCCCAGGCATCGTAAGAAGCGAACCCGTGGTCTCGGGCGAGCTGGGCTGCTGTGTATGGCGGTGGCACACCCCCTTGTTGGGGTGCTCGCTGTTGTTGGCACATCTGTGCTAGTCCTTCTGCCACTTGTTGCACCGGGTTCGGCGGTGGTTGGGCTGTGATGGTGGCTCCGATGTGTGAGCTCCAGCCTTGTGACTGTGGTTGTTGGTGGTGATGGTGGGGGGCTGCTGCCCCCAGTGATGGTGGTGCCTGTGGTTGTGGCTGTGCGTCGTAGGGCTGTGGCCATGGGTCTGCTGCTGGATCATATTGTGATGGCGGTGCATGGGCTTGTTGCCAGTGGTATTGTTGGGGTGTGGAGTGGGTTGGCACTGCTTGGGCTTGTGCTTGGCTTCCCCAGGCCTGTTGGGGGGCTTGCGTCTGTCCTGTGTGGGAGGCTGGTGGCGTATGGTGGGGGAGCATCTGTTGGGTCGGCGGCACGTTCGCTGCTGTATTGACTTGGGGGTGCGGTGGGGCTTGCGGCATCTGTTGCGTCGGCATGGGTCCTGCCCATGTGTGGTGTCCTGTTTGCTGGGGTGTGCTTGGCATGTGGCCGGCTGCTCCCCCGCTGCGGCTGTCTTGTTGTGTGGTAGCGGTTGGCAAGGTTCCTCCTGCCGTCGCTGTCTGTTCAGCTTGTCTTGGTGGCAAAGGGCCTGCTCCTTGAGGCTGGCCAAGGCGAGTCATTCGCGGCTCTCCACTGTTCCCCCCTTCTGTGGGGGCGGTTGGTCGGCCGTACGTGGGGCTGACCAAGGCATTGAGCAGCAGCAGGCTGGTTGCTGCGAAACACAGCAGAGCTCCCCCTTTCGAAGCCATGTTCGCAACTAGGGTTCGGGCCGTGGGGAGTCGCTGGAGTCAGATGCTGCAGCACCCGCGGTCGACTTTCCCCTTCTGCTGCAGGCAGGCTGGCACATGTCGGTGTGAACATGTTTGCATCACAGACAAGGCAACTGTCATGGTCGTGTGTCATGAGTCTCTGTTCTCTCCCCTCAAACAAGCCTGCGTGTTGCCACAGTTCCTCAGGTTCTCTCCCTTCACTCACTGTGGCCGTGGGCTGCTGCTTGCTCGTGGGTTTCGTAGGGACAAGAAAACGGTGGGGGGAAGCTCAGGTTAGCAGCAGGCGGGTGTTAGGGTGCCAAGGCTGGTCTGTGTGGTGGCCCTCTGGGTGTGTGTGGAACGAGGTTGTCGTGGATGCTGTTCTGCTTGCCTGTTGCCCAGGGGACATCGAACCTGTCAATGAAGCTGGCTGTGAGTAGCTGCCATTGTGTGCGGTCTGTGGCAATGCTGCTCCAGTGTGTCCCCCCGATGCTTTCGAGGGCTCTCTCTACATCCCCCTCCGGGTTGAAGCGAGCTGCGTGGCTGACTCTATCCTTGGGAGGCTTGCGTTGTTCTGCTCGCCAGAAACGGAGGTCCTTCCAGCGCATCATAGCGTTTACTTCCTCCCCTCCCCTCGCGATGTGGCCCCAGAGGGACCAGACTTTGGTGAGGATGTGGGTGGACCATCTTGCCCAACCTCCCCGCTGCAGGTAGACTCTAGCCGTCCTGAGTGAGCGTATGTGCCACTCCGCCCACTGTTCTGTGGGTCTTCTGTCCAGATGGAGCATGCGTCGCAGGTGCTGGGCTTGGAGGGAGTTGGCTGCTTTAAGGATGCGTTGGTTCACTGGCCATGTCTCTGCTGCATAAAGTGCTGCGTTCCGAACCAAGGCAATGTAGGCTGTCATCCTAGTGTTGAAACTGGTTCTGGCAAGCAGGATTTGCTTGTGTTTGGCGAAGGCCTGTCTCCCCCGTCTGCACATCTCAGCTATGATGGGTGCCGTTTGCTCGCCGAAGGTGATGGGGGAGCCTAGGGTGGAGATGACTGTTTTGTGCGGCTGGCAGGCTACCGTGGTGTTGCTGATCTGGAAGGTTCCCCCCCCTTGTGGGTGGCTGTGGAGAATGGCGGTTTTGGTGGGGTGGATGTGGAGGCCGTCCTCTGCCAGCTCGCTTTCGAGGTTGTTGATCAGGCATTGTAGATGGTGGCGGTCTTGGCTCCAGAGGTAGGTATCGTCAAGGAAACTCCCCCCGGCTCTAGGGGGGCTGGGTCCCCCTTGGTCGTCTGGCTTCTGTGGCGGAGCCGCTTTCGACAGCGCCGAAGAGATCAGGGGAATCGGGGCTCCCTTGGCGGATGCCGTTTGTTTGGGGTACAGGTGTGATGGTATCCCCCACTGCAACGTTGAGGCTGCGTGTCTCGAGGATGCTGAGCCAGAGTAGTGCCTCCCAGGGTTGATCCCCCCCTTCTTCTGGCACTGGACATCGGGATGATGGCACTCCCCCGATCCTGGATGCAACAAGCTCACTCATACTATGCTGCCAGACACTATCGAATGCCTTCCGGATGTCCAATTTAACCAACCATGTCGGAACCCCCCAGTCGCGAGCCATTTGCGTCACGCGCCGAATCGTCGCGATGAGTTCAACCCCTTGCCGCCCCCGCCTCGCCCACTGCAGAGTGGCCCCCCCTCTGACGCATTCCCCCCCTCTCGCAAGTAGGAGTTGGGCTGCCAGTTTGAGCAGGGTCGAGCTGAGAGTAATGGGTCTGGTCTCCCCCCACTCGAGGGGGGAGGGGACTTTGGGCAGCAAGACCGTCACGCCACGGTCAATTTCCTCGGGGATGCGGGCGGTGTACAGCATGTCGTTCAGGACATAGGTAATGGTCCCCCCCCATTGTGGGTTGGCGAGGAGTTCTCGCGCTGCTTCATGGGAAATCCCGTCGGGCCCCGTGCTTTTGTTGTTGTTGTTCCAGGTCTTAGCTACTTGCTGAAGTTCCTGTGTGCTGAAAGGAACCCACGGTGTGACTTTGCAGCGTCTTCTCAGTTGCAGCCGGAGTGTAGTAACTCGTGCGGTTCCCCCGGGCGGGAGCGGCTTGGCGAGATAGTGCGCATGTGTGTCTGCAGGTGCTCCTGCCAGCTGGGGTCGTCTTGCAGTCGAAGTTGCCAGCCGCGGTGTGTTTTCCCCCTCTGGAGGGTTCGTAGGGATTTCCAGTCGAGTTGTGCGGCCTGTTCGGCCTGCCTGGTGCTCCAGGCTCGCTGCTCTTGTTTGTGGAGGCGGGCTATCGCCTTCCAGGCCGCCTTGGCTTCAGGACCTGCCGGTATGAGTTTGGCTGCCCTGCGCATCTCCCGGAGTGTGGTGCTTTCGTGGAATTTGTTGTGCCCGCTGCCTGGGATCGTGATAGCTTTTGCTAGTGTGGCGATCATGTGGTGTGGGTCCTCCCCCTGGGGCGGGGGGACTGCCAGGAGTTGTGCCACCTGGTGTGGTGGACGCAGTTTGCGCGGTCCCCACGTTGCGCGGGCGGGTCCTCCCCCGCGTGGGAGCCTAGGGGGGCTGCTATGCCGTCGTGGTGGCACGGTCGCGGCACGGTACGACCTTCCCATTGCCGGCTGTGATCCCCTTGACCAGTAGGTAATCCAGTCGTCTTGGTTGCATCAGCTGGTTGTATGGGTGGTAGCTAGGTGTGCTAAGGTCTTGTGGTGGTAGTCTGATGTTGTTGTCATCGGCCCACTCAAGGATGCATTCCCCTCGGCCTGTGGTAGCATAACAGCCTGTCGTGTTGCTGATGGGAGGGGCAAAGGTCTCGTTGGCGTCAATGCCCAGTAGAAAGCGGCAGCGGTCCCCCAGTGCTTGTCTCCAGTCGTGTAGGATGTCTTGGGTTTGGGGGATGGTGGCATGATGCGGGATGTGTCCTGCCAGCGCTCGTGTGATGGTTTTGCTGTTCTTGCCTTTGAGGGTTGTAATCACTCCCCCCTTCGCAACCTCGCTGTGGTGGTGGCTGTGGTGTGCTGCTCGGTGGGCTATGCCTTCCCCTCTGAACTCCCCCTCACACTTTCCGTATACAAGCTGCCAGGTGTCTGACTCTGCATGAAACAAACCAGCATCTGTGATGATTTCTTGCACAAGGACGATGCACACACAGTTCAGGTCCGGGCTGTCACCGAAGTCGTCGAGCAGTTCCAGCAGTTTGCTGGGTGCTAGCCCCCCAACGTTCCATGTCATTGCCCAGAATTGGCCGGGTATTTTCCCCCCCTCGGCCTGGGAGTGAAACTGGTCGGCATCGAGGATTCAGTTGATCTCCGCGTTGAGCGGAGACCAGGCTGCCGAGACTGCCTGTTGTGTGGTCCTGGTAGCTTTGGCTATTTCCGCTAGGTTGACCCATCCAGGGCCAGCGTCCTCTGTCCCCCCAGGCTTCGGGGCTGTGGCTGAGCTGACCTTCACGCTGTCGACCCAGGCGGTTCCAGTGCTGAACTCCATTTGCAGTGCGTCTTTGTTCCCCCCCAAGGTGAGGTACAAACGCTTTACTTTGGCTGCCAAGCGTGCTCTGCGGCGTCGATCAGGTGGTTGGCTCATAGCGATCCAGACGCGTTTGGTCCCCCCGTCAGGGCGTCTCCCCAGTTGTATGTTCGCTTCCCTCACCTTGGCGATGACGTCTTGGATGCGCTGCTTGCGCTGCTCGAAGTGCTCCCCCAGGCGGTCGTCGATGGGGACGATGGCATATCCCCGACGGACGCCCGGAACAAACATCGAATCCAACGCGATGGGGGCTTCCACCGCTTTCAGCACGTCCATTGCGGCCTCCTTGGTACCCACTATCAGTGCGGGTCGTCGAGAGTTGTCTGAGGCTGCAGTGCTCCCGGCCACGGACGGACGAAGCTCCCCCCCCTTTTTCGAGGCGCTCAAGGCGGAGGTTCACTTCCTTGTTGGCTTCCTGGAGTTGCTGCAGGATGTCCCCGTGGCTTGCATACTTGGTGGTCATATCGTCAAGGAGGTTGATGGTCTGCTGCATCTTCCTGGTCACCTGGTTTTCAACGTTGTCCACCCGCGTGGCAAAGGAGCGCAGGTCTTGTTTGACATCGGAGAGGGCATCTTTGAGTTCCCCCCGAATGGCTTCCCGGATGATGTCGATGTTTAGTGCGAGGTCTTCTTGCTTGTCCGGCGCACGTCTTTTCGTGGGGGAATTCCCCTGGTGGTCTACTTGCATCTCGAGTCCTGCCCCTGTCGCCATGTTGTTCTCCCCGGCGTGCTTCACTAGGTCGCCCCCCTGCAAGTAGTGTCACGGACAGGTACTCCGGGTACTGTGTCTCCCAAGGCGGTCTTGCGGCTGATCGGCTCGGCCGGGTAAAACGCCTGTAGGCTCGCCGATTGCGTAGGCGCCGAGGGCTGGGCTTCGGCAGAAGGTGCAGCGCACAGACACCGTCGGGCTCCGTTCCCCCCGATGTCCCCCGGCAGAGCGAGGTTGGTGAGGGCGCGTAGGGCTGCGACCTTGCCCTTGTTCTTGAATGGCAGGGCGAGAGCACGCTCCCTCCCCTCAACTGTCGGGTTTTGAGGCCCTCTCTGCTGTCTGATCTGGGGCTCGGGCCTTGAACCACTCACGGCCTTGAGCCAAAATGATTCTCTCCGTCTCTGTCTGTTCCTCTCTCTCTCTCTCTGGAAGAGCCCCTGCGCTCCTTGACCTTCGCCGCCTCTTTCTGCGCGGCTGCAATAGACACCTGCTTCTAGGGCAACTTGGGCAAGAAGAGCAACTCAGGCGAGGTCGGTACAAAAGCAAAGGGGCTGAGCCGGCCGCCTTCTGCGCACGCGCCTCCCGCTCGGGGGCGCCTGCTGCCAGGGTCTCGCTCAGCTCACCGAGCCTCCAACAGCCAGGAAGGCGGCAGCTCTCTCCAAGTTTCTCTGCCAAAGGCGGTATGCTGGCCTTTTCTGCAACTCATCCTCGACCTGCAACCAGATTCTCGACCACACGGTCCCGACCCGCTAACGATGCCATCCGATGGCGACAAAGACACACACGGCCACCCGCCGCAGCCAGTAGTTCCTTGATAGCACCCCTGCATCCTTCGTGACATCAACCGGGTACCTGCTTCACCACCACGTGGTCAAAGGTGCCGCGAGCTGCTGGCTCCTGTCAGCGACTTGCAAGGACACGTGCCCTTAGCCTTACAATTCCTGCTGCGCCTTGTCCAGCGCGGACGGCAGAGATGTCAGCAGCGCTGTGTCGAAGCCTGGAGGCGCTGACTGTGGGTGGCAAGTTAGTCTGATGTTGACTCTCCTTGCCGAAGGCTGCAGACGCTTTGGAAAAGCTTGTGTGGTTTGTTGCACCTTCGGAGCGACCGAGCTTGGTGATCTCCTGGATGGCCTGGAAGGTTGCGCCGTGCGCCGAACGTCCCGGTGTCAGAACACGGCGTCAGGTGCTCCGCTGCCTTGGACTTGGAGCTGGCCTCCACGGTACCATCCTGATCGTCGCGGGGTCCCCCGCAGGCGAGAGGCTTTCAACATCATGTGGACGAGTCGGATCCATGGTGCAGGCAGCAGCAGCCTTGCACGGGACGAAGACCGATGTCATCACTGTCCTTGAGATGATGCCACTTCCATCGAACTGTGGAAGATTGGCCTGACAGTTAAGGCTTAGGGCTGCGCTCCAGCTTTTCCTTCTTCGTCTCTGCCTGGACAAGCTTCGTGTCACCGGCCTCGTGCAACAGAACGGAGACTCTGCACAAGGGCCGGCAAATTTTGCAGGGCCGGAAACGCGTGGCCTTCTGCTCCTGCTCGGCCGTCTTGTGGGCCTGCACCCACCCAACGAAAGGTTTTCCCATGGCTCCTCTGCACCGGTCCGCCTTTTCAGCGGCGCTGAGCTCCTCTGCGGCCACCTCGGCCTCCTGCCCCGAGGTGACGAATGTCACAACACATGATTTTAGGTAACACCAAGCAGCATTCGCGAGTGCATGCGCATCTTACAGCAAGTCACAAGTGTTGTAGCGGATGGCATCAGCAATGTTAAACTAGGGCAGCCTGCTTCCTCCCTGAACAGAGGCTGGATTCTCCTTCTTGGTCGTCTCCATGACGGCGGCTTTCTCTTCAACGGCCTTTTTGGTCTCCTGTCACTGGCAAAATGCCTCATCCACGGCTTTCGCGGGCGCTTCCCGCCCCACCTCCACAGCAGCCTGCCCAGAGCAGCGTGCAGATTGGCTGGTTCAGATTCACTTGGAAGACAATCGTTTCGGCCTCTCGCTTGGTCTTCTCTGCATCTCCAGATGCGATCTTCTCCTGCACAGCTCTTGAGCAAGAGCGCCATCGCACTACCCAGCAGGTGTCCGTCCTCGGCACCGGAGATCTTGGACTCGAGGTCCGCCTGCACAAAACGGGGGGAAAAAAGGTTGGCTCGGCCTAACTTATTCAGGCGATCAGCAGACCGGCTAGAACTCGTCCGCGCATGCAAGACATGTAACTGAATCACGAGCCGCGTGCCCGGAAGCACCTGGACAGATGCGAGCACCTCCGCCGTCATCGCGACAGTGCGAGCCTGCTGCGCCAGCAGATTGCGAGGCGCTGCGAGAGATGGGAAGCTTTCGGTCGCCTGGAACTCGTGCCTCTCCTCCTTCGTCTCGCCCAAGCCTGAGAGTCGCATCTAAAGACAGGCTCTGCCGAGCTGGCGTCGGAGCACTCTACACTCAGGGCTCAGCAGAGAGGCAGGCTGTGGCCTCGGCACTCACCCCTTCATCCCCCGCAAAAGGGTGAATCTGACACACCAGATACCCGCGTTCAATCACTTGCGAATGTTTGCTGACGTTGCGGGGTGCTACGGCGAGTTCGCCGGCTAAGCCACGAACTCAACATCTCGATGACATGCTTCGGGTAGCTGCTGGACTTCAGCGCAGACGCAATCTCCTGGAAGCCATGCGAGTAGCACAAGTCCGGCAAACTCAGGCTGCTTTCTGGGGACTTGCTGTCAAGCGCTGCCCAACCCGCACCCCCAGCCCCCAAGCACATCTTGCGGTGCAGCCTTTTTAGGCACAGGTGGCCAGAGTCTAGAGCTGCACGGATGCTGATCTGAGCGGTGCAGCTGCGAATAATCTTTGTTGCAAGAAAGATACAGTCACTCCGCCTCCCCGGCCCCTGGAGCAAACGTTCGAAACCGAAGCTACGTTCGTACAAGCAGATTGAACGTTGTGGAAGCTCGTGCGGCGGAAGTATGCCGGGGCGGGACTTTGTGAGTGTGAGTCTCAGGCACCTCCCCGCTGGATACGAGCTTGTAAAAGACGTTGACCCGCTATCCTGTTGCCGAGCACGAACCCAGCGGAAGGCCTTCATGCAAAGAACCGAGTTCAATTCGTTGAGCCGTGAACAGTGTCTGAAAACTTGCGCGAACCCGAAGCGCGTCTGGACTCGTAACTCTTTCAAGGAATCAACACTGCACAGCTCGACCTAGCTACGGTCGACCGAGTCGAAACATTCAGTTTCTGAATTCGATTATTAAAGTAGCCAGCATGCCGTCTGGACACTGATAACATCAGGGGGCATAGCTCAATGGTGAACTTGGCAAGCCAATGTAGGGAATCACCAAGTCCACCAATGGAGCGTCCTCTTTGCACACCGCCCGTCTACTGTTGTGTCTTTGTCATGCGTGGCTTCGCTTCAAGCCGTTCCAGAAAGCAGGCATAAGGCAGACCTACAACATCACTTCCCGACGGAGATTTTGTTTCCGTGGGAAATGCGAGTTGTTGCTACAACGTGAGACATGAGAGGATCAGTTGGTTCAAAGAGCTGGTAGATGATGCCCCATTGCTGGCAAGCTGCAGGAAAAAACCGACCCTGCGAGACCCTTGCCGTTTTGGCAAAGGCACATCACATCACGCTCGACCTTTACATTGACCTGTCTTGGTCCTAGGACCCTAGGTTAGGCGCACCCCAGTCTGCCTCACCTTTGTTAGAAGCTCGAAAACTCACTGTCTATCCTTCTGGCGGCAAGACTGCACGATGATGCCCCTGTGTTGGATGATTCCATGCATCGGTCTGGGGCAAACCAGGACCGAAACCCTCGTCCCACCTCACTTGATAATCTGAGGCAGAAGAGGTCCAGGCATTCCTTTCACTGCCACCTGCACAAACCAGAAGTGGCTGCGAAGGATTCCACGACTCAAATCCTTTGGGTGCACCGGCGCTTGCCGCTTCGCTATGGTTAACCATTGGCCGAGTCACCTTTCCGATCCTGCCCAGCGAGGAGCCTGGTAGGTCCCCCCATTGCGCTTGAAAAATAACCCTCAACTCCCCACTTCGTGGCAAAGGCCCGCACTCTTCAGCAGCCCAGCCGAGACTGCCAGGTCCGTGGCGGCCGTCGCCATTCCCACGTTGGCCAAGGACTTGGACCTTGGGACAAATATTACATATCAATAATGTATTCTACTCTACACTCCATATTATAGTACTGCTAAGTGCCGCACGCAGTCAAGCCAATGCCTCGGCTTTGATGAAGGCCGTGACCTCTTCCGCCAAGCTGCACCTTACAGGAGCACGATGTTTGTGCTGAAGATCTGCTGACCTACCTTCACAGACCCTCGTTCTCAGGTGCCGAACCAAGCGGTCCATGAGGTTGAAGTGGTTGTTGGCTTCAGCATGTGCCAAGGCCTCAGAGAAGAAACACTGTGGCAAAGGGCAAAGGACATAATGCGCCATGGCTTGATATCGAAGAGTACACTAAGCGCAGCAGAAGTGAGGGGCGGTCATATTAGAGAGTCAAGACAGCTGAGGACTCGGACAGTGTACTCCCGGATGTCCTGTTGGCTGCGGTCAGAGATGCGCTGAGTCATGACTCCAGCACGACGACAGACGAGCCTTGGCATTCATGTCCGCGCCCATCTCCAGAAGCAGCATGCAAGCCTTCCATCCGCACTGCACGACTCGATTCGCTCCGGGCGGCCATGGTCCCGTCGTCGCCCCTCGCCCTTGTCCTCTTGCCTGGTAGTTGCCGCCGGCGGCCGCGAGGTGGATGGGCGTGCGCCTCTTGTTGTCGCAGATGTTCACCTGGAGAGAGCAAGCCGGACTGGAGAGGAGCGCTCAGGCTCGCTCGGCACTTTCGGCCCCCCGGCATCGGCACCCCATTCGATGAGGCGGCAAATGCCATCCACCTCTCAGCCAAGCCCTGCTCTTCTCATGTCTCCAAGCGTGCAGCGTGCTGCGAGGACTCGCAGGACCGAGCTGCAGGCGTCGTTGTGCTGGGCAGCCACATGCAACGCCGTCCTTGCAACGTGCTGCTTGACCATGCAAGGGAGCGAGGTCTGTGCAGAAGACGAAGCTAACCTGGTGAGGGTCCTCCCTTCTGCATCGGCAGAGTTGATCTTCACGCCGTAGATGTGCAAGAACCTCATGCAGGACATCCCTGCAGACTCTTGGCATATCCTAATTGAAAAATTTAGATCTGCGACAGCATGGAACGATGAGAACTCAGAACTCGGACGACAATACCACCACTTGCAATTCTGCATTCAGACATGCTCCGCTGCCTAAGCATGCCAGTGTGGTCTGCTCCCGATGATGCCACGAGACAATGTTGCGAGTCAGAGGTGACATTCAGCAGGTGCGGTGGATCTCGGAGCAGCACTCCATCATATCGTAGCGCTTCGCCCTAGTCACGATGTTGAAAGCCTTAGCAACATCCAGGCTTGCATCCCACTTCTCGACATGATGCCAGTAACATGGAAAAGTATTCCGCTGAAAGCCGATGGGGTCAGTGCTTGCTCCGGTCCCTTCCCGCACAACTCGCGCTGTCTAGGAAAGTGCCTGTTGCATTTTGCCTTTGGTCGTGTCTCGCCGGTGATAATTGATGTTACTCAGTGATTATTCACCATCTCGCTTCATCGATTTGCGGTGGCACTGAAGAGCCACTGCACTGACAGCAAGCACGGTTAAGAAGAGGCTCTCTGACAAAACCAATCCAGACTTGAGAAGAGGGCCACGAAAGCTAGCGGAAACAAATGAGAAATGTCGTGGGTGTGTTGGCATTATCGGGCCGGCATATGCCTGCCTCCTAGTGGGTCAAGGAAATATTGCCCTTATGTGCCAGAGAAGTCGAGGCGGCTATACCTGTCCTTTCTACGTGCTGACAGTTATTGCCAATTGCACTAGCAGGTCACTAGCAATGCGAAGCAGAAAGCTAGTTGGCACGTGCTGGCCCGAAAGTGGCAGTTCATTCCATGCACCTAAACGGTAGCCGCAACAGTCGTAACACGCAGCCGTCGCTGCAAAATTCGCTATGGCTAGCCGTGCATACTTTAACTTGTCAGAAAGTCCAACTTGCATAGCTACGCGGACACGCACGCAATCAAGCAATGTCCTTGAAGAAACCCTACACTGCTGCCAATTGCCCTTGAAACTGCTGCTGGAAATTAGTGCAGATCTGGCTCGAAACAACACGCACGCACCGCGCAAAAGCAGAATGAACATGCTGGACAAAGGACCTCAAGGTGGGGGCAGGGCGGACCCGAAGGGGAAGGGGAAGGGGAAGGGGTGGCCCACCATTTTCGGTCATGCAGCTGCCTTATGGTACGGGGGCCGTTCCTTGTTGTCGTAGAACGAATCATGTCAGCGGCCTCGGGGGAGCTACCATCACTTTGACTATTGCCAAGGGCCGAACCGAGTTTTGTTTACCACAAAAGACTACTAGAGATGAGTTGGTAAACGACAACTCAATTCCCACAAGCTCGCCAGAGGTGGCTTTCGTGACCTGCCCGTGGCTGACAAGACCGCTATCCGGGGCGTCCTGTTTATGTACCTGAAAGCCATGCTGAGCCTCGCGCCGTCTCGCCTTTCCGGGTCTTGGCCATGAGCTTCGCGCCTCGTCGGTAGCAGAGCTTGGCCAGGCCTCGGGGTCTGCAAGGACAAAGCAACGAAGGGTGATTGAAGCTGCCCTAACATCCGGTGTCGGCTTTCTTCACTTTGGCTTCTGGGTAGTATACTAGAGACATGGCATCAGGAACGGAAGAACGACACAAAGACGACTTCAGTTGAAGGAACGGAGCAATGGGGGAACACAACGAATCAAAAGTCAAACGAAATGGAGACTATTCCTTCCGGATTCCTGATACTCTTCCGATCGACGAGTTGAGGCATGGCATCCTGCGTGCATCTCGTGCTAACGACCTGCCCGACAGTGTAGTCAACGACCTTCAAGCACTGGGCCACTGACCAAGATTGCCGGTTGTGCATGCGAACCTGAGAATATAATTCCGACGACTCTGATCGACATGTGCAGGCTATTCTTCGATCGTACATCAGAAAAACTGTGACCGGAGCTCAAGCAGCGTCATGTTGGACTCCACCTGAGCCAGGCTTCTGGAAACTCCCCAAGTTTTGAAGATGGGCCTCGAAGCCTTTCATCAGCCAAGAGACATCAACAGCATCAATGTCCGTGTTCTCTAGAAGCCGCTCCAGCATGTTCATCAGGACGGTCCCGGTCCTGCAGAGGCGAAAAAGTTACCCACCGCCACTTTCCACATTAGACTACTGGTGGCATTGCCCAGGACAGCAGCAGCCGGCCTGCTGACGATCTGCTTCAGATTGAAGGACTTTGCCTTCTCCTGACTGATGACTGATGGCTATGGCTCGAGATACAGAGTCTTGGTGAACGGTTCACTAACTTTGAAAGTCCGCTGTTATGCTGGGTCTGGGAGTCCTGCAAAGCATTCATTTGCAAATAAATACAATGTAAAAGTTCAACAGACCTATATACCACAGCCATGCTGGAAAGTGTGATTAAAGTGTGATCAACAGGTAATCAACGCGCAAAATCAAACATGCATGGAGGGGTTAAGCGGCTGCAGAAATACGAAGAACATATTTGCAAATAACTTGTACATGTAGAAAGCGTGGAAAGTGTCGAGACAAAGTGTGAA